TAGTAGTAGTAGTAGTAGTAGTAGTAGTAGTAGTAGTAGTAGTAGTAGTAGTAGTAGTAGTAGTAGTAGTAGTAGTAGTAGTAGTAGTAGTAGTAATAGTAGTAGCAGTAGCAGTAGCAGTAGCAGTAGTAGTAGATACAAGAACCCTCCTTTCAATACTCAGCTCAACTCAACCTACAACTGACTTCCAGTCCGACTAAGCCCAAAGGCAAAGCCTATTCCAGCGTGAATAAGACAAGGATGAATGCCATTGTAGAGATCAAATTGAAGGTCAAAGTCGGATACCATGTTTCCCTCCAGTCTCGTCTCGACTTGTACCGTACTAATCAAGGTTCCAGATTTACCTGCTCTTCCCCCCCCCCCACCACCACCACACAGCTTCGTTCCCGTCTCCGAAGCATTTCCGCAAGTTAAGTTCTATTCTCTGTATCATTTCTTCTTCCCTCATTAAATGAGCTTCAATCTAAGCAGACTCGACTTCTGCCCCGCAGTAAAAGAGACACCCAAGACCCAACCACCGTTCAATCCTCAGCCCCTCAACTCCGCTTCAACAATGTCACACAGTCATCTTTCCGGCCCTCCTCAACCTCCCGGGCAGGAACACTAACATCACTCACCAAATGCCCCTCTAACTGAAAGACCTGCGCAGCATCAACGCAGCCCGCATTCCGCTGGATCTGAGGCAGCAGAGCAGCCGGATGGAGGAGATTGTACACCCACACCGCAGGCACCATCATCGCGCCATCCAGGCCGATCAGCAACTTCTCGTTCCGCATCGTTGCGCTGGTCCATCCGTGCAGCAGCTCAATCGTCCGGTACACGCTCCGGATATAGATCAGCAGTAGGGAGAAGACGGTCGCGCCACCGAGTAAGAGCAACGGAGTGTTGGAACGGATCGCATGCGGTGGCTTTCGCTTGGACAGGCGGAGCACGAAGTCGGTGGCGAGGGCCACAAACAGTGTAATGGACACGAGTTGGAAGATGATGCCCCCGACCATGATGTGGGTGCCGGTCGTCTGGCTGCTGCTGGAGCTAGAGCTGCTGGAGCTTTCCGCTGCGCGCGCGAGGAGGTCTCTTGCGCGTGCTAAAGTTCCTGATTTGGTCGATGTAGAAGTAGAGGATGGGCTTGTGGTGGTGGTTGCAGTGGTCGTACCGCCTGCTCCGCCGGACGAGGCCATTCCGCCACCGGTACCTTGGACGCCCAATGCAATCACGTCACAGATGCAGAAGATCCACACGTAGAGTTTTGGCGGCATCAGGGAGGAGTTGCGTCCGAAGGTCGACACGAGTCGGGCGAGGATGACGTATATACCCGCGGTGAAAAAGGTAGGAGCTGTTGAGTTTGGATTCAGAATTAGCATCTGCTTTTTAGGGCTAAGGGCAAACACGCCCGGCACGCCCAAGTGAAAGAGAGAGAGAGAGTGTATGTGTGTGGCATTTACCGATGATCAGGGTGGTGATTTGCATCATATAGGGTGTTTGGGCGTAAGGACACTTCGCAGACCAGATTCGTGCTGCCCATCCCAGTAGCTCAACTGGTATTTGTATGTGTGAGTTCGCCGAAGATGAGCAAGTGTCGTGGTAGCGGGATGCAGCGAAGGTTGTGTACATACCTAAGCATCCGATCGAGAAGACAGCACACCACCAGGCACGATAGTAAATCACTTGTGCGGTATGGATCAGCATCGAGAGGCCAAAGAAGGCCACAAAACATGATGCTGCCGTAAGTGAGGGTACATAGCCATAGGACGTTTCAACCCCAGTGACATAGGCGTGGCATGTGTCTTGGCTATAGCCTTCCATAATCTAGTACTGTCAGCTGTCAGCACTGACTATGCTATCCTAATTGAGACAGGTAATGAGATTGTGGAAGATTGAAGCGCGGACAGGGAGTATTTAAAAGAACGTAAGATAATCGTCCATCCATGGTTGATGCTGGTTGAGTCGGATCCTTATGCGGACTCTCTCTATTGAGTAGCGCGATGCCTCTTGTTCGAGCGCCAGCCATCAGTGTCCAGAATTAGAGATAAACTGTCCCAGGAACGTTATTGCCATGCATCTTCAGACCAAGCATGCTAGATGTTCCGTACTCGTGTTCCGCTTTCGACCGAAGCGGTTACGGCCAACGTGGTTGGGAGGTCCACTTGCACCCTCGCTTGTGGATCTCGAACCCGCTCAACGCCGCGCGGTCTTCCTCTCCACTGCAAGGACAGGTAGAATAAGCTGTACATAACAGCAAGTCTCAGCTATTTTCCTCTAGGCCCACCTTTGGCCAAATAACAAATACAATCGGGAAGTTGATCAGATTTTGCCTAGATGTCAGTTCATCGGCCACAGTCTCTTGTAGTTTCACCCTACCGTCCAATCAATCCCGCGAGTAGTGAGAGATAGCATAGCAGAGTTGCGGAGAGGCAACAGAATCTCTGGATGTTTATGTTTATATATAAGAGTATATACACCGTCCTATTCTTAAGAAGAGCACCTATATAGACCTGCCTTTCAGCTTCCCTCCTTAACAGCGTGAGTGTCAAGAAAAAATCTATGTATCAACAAAGGACCCCTCAATGTAATTCACAAATCCAGTATCCGAATCTCATCAATCGGCCATCGAACCAACGCCCGATCATCTTCCCCCAGAAAAGTCCATATCCCCCGTAAGATATGCGCCGGCCATCCGTGCGAGACCCAGGTTCCGTCCTTCCGATACATGAGGACCGCAAAATGCGCGAGAAGCACCAGCGGCACGGGCTGTTTCGCCTGCAACGCTGTCCAGAACGGCTCCTCCAACTGCGTCACCCACGTGCACAGGACGAACCCAAATGGCTCCGGTTGCATGGCAGTTGCCGCCGGACGCCCAGGGCCAGGGCAATCCACACTCCCGCCACCGGAAAATGCCGATCGAAAGGCTCGTAGAGTATGGTCCATGGCCATTCTGTATATCGGCAGCAAGGGATCTGCGGCCGCCCGCTCTTCGGTAAACGCGCACACCCGGGTGAGGGCTTCTTGCCACCCGGCGCAGTGTTGCCTAGCAGCGGCGGAACAGTGGGAAGGATGTCCTCCTTCGGACAGATCTTGGGACTGCTCTTCGTTGGAGGGGGCACGCCCCTTCTGCAGCATGGTGGAGATGGTGTCGACCCCGCGCAGCAGCGCAAGCCACTCGACGGGGCCGGCCCCGCCGCGGTTGAAGAACAGAAACTCCCCGGCTCGGGGCCCGCGGGCCAGGCTGATGAAACACACGAGAATGGACCCGATCCAGACCGCGTCGGCGCTGGGATGTGTGAGGGCTTGGGGTTGAGACAGCGCGGTGGACAGCAGCTGCAGGCCAGTTCCATAGTGGTAGTCAAAGCGCAAGGGACAGCGATTGCAATTGCGGCGAGACTCCGGCTCCGGGCTCCGGGCCAGATGGAGACAGGCCAGCGCGAGCATCAAGTGATGAACCAGCGGAACCTTGAATCCCATGCGCGGAACCACGGACTGCCAAAAGGAGAGGCTTGGGGCGTCTTCCATTAGGCTCAGGCATGTTGAAGAGAGAAAAAAGTGCTGGAGCTCGAAATCTTCCAGGCAGAACGCCGGATCTGTGGACTCCGTGGACAAGGACACACGAAGGGTTTCTTCGGCCAGACTGGCAGAGGGGGCAGAAGGGGCAGCAGAGACGTTCACGTAATTGAATTCCACAAATTGTATCTTGAAATTGTTGATTCCTGGAAGCTCTGCTCTGGCTCTTGGATTCTTCCGGGTGGTCGCCGTCGCTGAGTGGGCGTCCTTTAAGGAGGGGCCATACACGCACTGAACCGAATGGTTGAGGCAGTTCGAGCACTCAGGCTTCATCTCATCGCACTGAGATCCGATTAGCCCTCTTTCCGAGTCTCGATCATTGAGAAATGTGCAATACCTTCACGTGCCTGCGCTTACAGGTCCTACACCCATCCCGCGATTTGCGGTGGGACTTTCGTGGCATGACAGGCCTGGGTGATGCGTAGGGAGACGAATTTGAGCTGTCCATCAACAACGAATATTCGATTCTTACATCATTGTGAGGAGAACGAGTGTGAGGTATCAAGAACTCTTGAAACATGCAACAGCTACCATAAAAAGAATAAGTATCACTACACATGGTAGGAACCGTGGATTGATTGGTGAACATATTTGATTAGCGACCCGGCCACGTAAGCAAGCAGGCTATCTCTCTCCGCAACTGAGGCAGTGTAACTAACCATGGACAATTTTCCCCAGAAACTCATATATCTCGAAGGAATCTACAATAACCAACTACTTCTGATACATGAAACGATTTACTGGAACCCTGATGTTTCACCGCCTACAAGGCAGCAACAACAGGGGATTTTGCAGAGATTTGTCACTACTCTTGCATGCAATCAAATATACCACTAACATAGTTCAACCTTCTTAAGGCCATTTAACAAGCAACACCTCATTTTCGGCTCAATACCATTGTCCATGCACCATCATGCACTCTCAGCAGACCAATCTCATTCGCAGTCTGAACGAGTTCTACACCCTACTCTACCAACTAGGCGCCTACGAAGAAACCAAGATCCTCCGACCAGAGCCCAGCCGCAGCAGCAGCAGCATAGACCCAGCAAATCGCCATCCCTCGGGCGCCATCAACCGCGCCGCGGCATTGGCCGCCGGATTCACCCCGGCCGCGGTCGATCTGATGGACCAGATCCCCTATCTGGACGTCGGGGTGCTGGAATTTCAGATCTGCCCCAATACGTTTGCGATCAACTATCGAAACGAGAAGGATCACGACCAAGGGAGCTTCGAGGCGTGGCGATCGACCTGTTCTCCCGAGATCGAACTGCCCGAGAACACGGTGGCCTTGACGCAGGCCTCGGGCGGGGGCAGGACCTGGCTCTATGATGTGGGGACCGGTGTGTCTTTCTTCCTTTTCTATGGCTCGCTAACTGCTTCAATTTTGTTTCTCTCTCCTCTTTCTGATTTATGCGGACTAATTTTGGCTGACTCTAGGACTTATGCGCGACTGGGATTTGGGGAGTGAGGAGGATCCCCTCGTGGTGCCGGCCGATCTGCCCTCCAAGGTTCTGGCTCCGTATATTGAGAAGTACAGGAGTCTGCACTATCTGATCATCCCGACGGGGTTGGACTGTGCGTGGGAGCTGTTCATGGCTGGACAACCGCCGGAGGACTGGGGCCCCTGGGACCGGTTGGATTGGTACCTCGATTATGGGCAGTGGAAAGCGACCCGATATATCCTGCAACTCTATCTGCAGCATGGCTGGGAAGTCACTTCAGGGATGCCTTTATCACAGGAGCAGTTTCGACGGCCGGACTTTTTGAGAGCGAGGGACCAGTACTGGGCAGAGGTGGTTGTGCCCCTGGGCCAGGCGACGGAGATGTTTCGAAGACAACGGATGGTAGAGACGTTGTGAAGATCGAATCAACTCTGATCCCCGAGCTGGATAGGGAGCCAGAAGTCATGGGGACGCACCCCTTGGAGCTGCGCGCAGATGGCACCCTCACGCTCGACAGCCGACTGCTCCTTGAACCTCGCCGCCTCGTCGAACCCCATCAGCCAATCGCCTGTTTCGCGCATGATGAGGTCTCTTTGCTCCTGTGGAGATCCAATTTGGGCGCTGATTTGGTCGAATCCTGCATCCTCAACCAGGGATGCTGTTGTGCTGGCACGTTGCGGGAGGAGCAAATGCGGTAGTGTATATCAACCAGCCAGATGGTGATAAACCGCTGATTACCCGGCAGGTTACGGCTTTGAAGTGATAGAGGCAGTGTCCGGGATCTTAGGGTGTTATGCCAGCCTAGGAAGCATCCTTGATAGGTGGCAGTTGCTAATCCCAGGGTTTGTACCCATGTTCCTTCAGAAGCCAATGAACATAGTAGTCGGCATCTCCCGAGAAGGTTGGGTTCTTTGCAGTCAGCTTGATGCTGCTGACACGCACGATCACTTGCAATTCCTGGTTGCAAGAATGGCTCTGCAAACAAAATGATTATTACTGGTGATCCCCGGGTGGCGGAGGGTGGTTCTTGAAAACCTTGCTATAATTCTTAGTCATATTAACAATCGGCTTCGCAATTCTGCCTAGTTTCCACTTATTATAGTAGTATAAGACACCAGGTTCAAGGTACTGGAGAGTGTAAAGCCTACCCTATTTCTCTTACACAACCTCGACTACTCGCTCTACAGACTCCCACATCTCCGGAGTTATAAAGCCCAGTAGGTTCTTAGGATATACTAGATCTGATAGATTATCATCAATAATCAGCAATCTCGGGCCGGGTTCGGGAATTGCAAGATATTATTTAATCTTAGTGTAATATATTGCCCAGGTCTGCCTCGGCCAGTACTGATCAGGCCAATGCCATTCCTAATTTTCCAGCTTGATTTTATAATATTAATCAATAAGCTTACTCCTTTAAAATCTATATATTCTATTGCGGGGCGGATAGCGACTAACAGGCTTCTTAATTAAAATATTATTTTATAGCTCTAGACAGGCGGAAACCAGCTTTTTAATAGCAGCATAGGCCCTTCTGTTACATGGGTGGAGGTTATTGATATAGAAAATAACTTGCGTATCAGTACCTACTAAACTAATAAATTATACTTTGTACAGTAGCTACTAGAATTTATAGGACCAGCAATACAGGGATCTAAGACCGTTGTTATGTAGTAGACATCTATATTATTTTATCTACATATCTATAGGGTGCTGATGCATGGGTATAATATAGATAGTAGAGTCGGCAGTAGCTTATAATAAACCAGCAGCAGTTATAGTAACTTGGCCTTCTTGATAAGAAACAGCAGTGCGACTATAGACCAGTATGTACAAATCTAGATCCATCAGCTCATATTGTCCAAATCTCTTATAACCACCCTATTCCCCCATGAGTGGCTGAAATGCTTCCTAAAACTTCCTGCACAAGCTCTTGCTGACAAGCACAGCTGACTTATATACTTCTAAAACCTATATTAACAATAAAAGTATAATCCTTTTTATAGTATTTGACTGTTTTATTATATAGCTCTATAATATACTAATCCTATATTTTTAAAATAATAAGATCTATATTAACACCCCTATTTCCAGTCTTCTTCGGTTTTAAATAGGCTTAGGACCAGATACGCATCTTTTTATACTAATACTATATAATATCTTTGTTAAGTATATTATTCTTTTAGTTCTGCCGCTTGGTTAATATCTCTCTAACACGCAGTATAAGGATCTCAGATTAGCTCAACTAAGTCGCTTGACCTCAGCTCCCAGTCCAGTTTGGGAAAGCTTTCGTACGCAAAGTGTCAACCGGGGGGTAACTCATAATTCACAGGGATATCAAAAAGCTGGGGACCTGGAGCTGACCATTCTCGCAATTGTCCCATCGAATGGAGGTCATTGATTGTGCTGTGTAGTGTGGTGTAGGCTGGTCGAGACACAGGAGAAAGGTCAATGCGGAAAGAGTAGGCAGAGCAGAAGAATGGAGACTCGGAGACGGCGTGAGAAGCTAGAGCCGGATGCAAGTATAGTGTGTCGTTTGGCAGAGCGTCTTGCTATATCCTCTCTCTTCATCTACCCTTCGAGCCTGCAAGCCCAGGCATTCATTCCGTTTCATGAAATTTCCTTCCTGCATCTACTCACTCTCTACTTTTGTAGGGCACGGGTGTTGCCCGCCTGCGGCTTGCGGGACCACCGAAGCACAGCCCTAACCGTTAGGGGCCAACTGTTAGGGGCTAGCCGGAAGATCACGAACTATCTCCACCATACCACGAGCTGTCCGTGCAGTACCAGGTCTCGCAGGCCATGGAAACCCAGGAGAACTAGATTCGGTGGTGGCGGGTGGTGGATCTGCTGATCGCCGACCCGGCGCACTATCATCCACTCAAGTCGACGTGGCCCAGCACCCAGAACTCGACCAGCACTAGTCCCTGACCTTCATGCGGGATCCTGATCAGCTCCGGCGCGGGCTATCGGCGGACGACATCGCCAAGAACGGTCCGGATCGAGAGGAGGATCATTACGGAAATGAACAAGCTGGTAGAGGTTTGCTTCTGGTTTGAAGTTTGAGGTGATAGAAGCGATTGATTTCTCTTATCTTTTTACGAAGGTTATTGCGTTCTCTGGTTTCATCATTGGTCAATGTACTGCCTTGCATTGCATTACGCAGCCATACACTGGGAAATAAGCCCTAAAAGAAGGGTTGGATCATACACATATCTTTTGTCGAAAAACCGTCCCTCATACCTCTTTTCAGGGAACATGAAAATGCAGAGCCAAGTTTGATATCCAGAACACCCCATGCAAACATTAAAAAAAAAGTATAGTGCGTCATTCTGTCTTCATGCCCCTCGCTCGCCGCCCCAGAAAAGAATACACATACAGAGAGATGAGACAAAAAGTGGGGGGTTGCACATCATCTTACACAAATCGAAAGAAAAAGCCCACAAAACAGCTTTTGGATATGTGGGGGAGGGGCGGCGGCTGGTGAATCAGGTCGTTACCCACTCAAGGGCTGAAGCAACTTCAACAGAAAAAGATCGTGTTGTGTTCTGCATTTCGGCATCTCTGCATCTTTGCATCCGCTCCCTGCTATATTTTTTACAAGCCTGTGTCCGCACATGAGAATGGACTCCCGACTGTTCCTTCTCGGTAGCTGATGATCACACTTTCGATGGAGGCCTGTTTGAATGTTAGTTTTTCTTCTGCGGAGAATAGGCGTGATGGGTAATGAACTGCGCGGTTCCAAGGACGGGGCAAAGGAGGGACGAGAAAAGAGAGGGGGAGGCAGGAGGATATGAACCTACATAAGTACCCGGTCCCAAGAAGAACAACCCCGCGAGAATCAATCCGACGTTCACGATAAAACCCAACCAGCCCTTCCACCCGCGATTCTTATAGAATCCCGGCCCGTAATCCTCGCGGCGCATGCGCAGGTACGCCGTACCCCAGAAGATGAACCCGAAGAACGAATCGAACAGGGCGCTCATGATGGACTCTAGATCGGAGAAGAAGGGGATGACCTCTGCGATAATGAAGGCGGCGATCCACAGACAACACAGAATCCCGGCCCAGGCGGCCCAGCCGACGACGGTGTGGTTGCCCTTGTGGCGGGTGCCGTCGAAGAGGCGGAAGAAGAGGAAGCGGGCGGAGACGGAGGCGTACAAGACGCCCAGAAACACGAGGGTGGGGATCATGAAGGAGAAGGAGACCTTCTTGTAGGTCTCGTTGCCGAGGGAGCCGAACGCGGGCGAGGTGATGTATTGATTACCGGTGTAGGCGTACACGATGGCGCCGACGAGGGAGAAGACGATGATCTCGGCGATTGTGACGGCGGTGACGGACTTCCAGAAGTCCTTGGGCTCGCGCATTTCAGCGATGAAGCTCGGAAGCGTGATCTGGCCGACGAAGGTGTAGCTGATGTTGAGGAATGCGCTGACGCCCGAGACGAAAGTTGTGCCGGCCACAGGTACAGCGGTCACGATGGGGTCGCCCTTGGCCGGAGTGTAGCCGGCCGGGTGGTCTTCGATAGCGGAGAAGATAAGGGCGAGCATAACGGAGATGAAAGTGGTGAACGCGGAGAGGGTGGCCACCTTGGAGAGCGCGTCGAAGGTCCGCGGGAGGGAGCAAACGAATGAGATGACCGCCGTCACAACGGAGAAGACGATTGTACAGGCTCCATGTCCGGTGATCGTGTTGAGATATTCTGCGCCAACGAGGCAATGGAGGCCCTAGTGGCGGTTAGTTTCAGAGCTGGGAAAGGTTTGACGTGCGACATTGTCTCTACCTGAATAAAGGTGTTGTTAAGCAGGAACATGACAGCCGTCAAGTACCAGACCACCTTCGAATCCCAGAAAATCATCTGTCCAATGTCGCACACATCGCGTACGTGAGGATGTCGCAAACAGAAACGCCTGAATATGTGAGCTATATCCTGCAGCACGCTTAAATCTACGTCACGTACCAAATGATCAACGAAGTATACAACACAGTCATGGCGATAAACACTGTCAGGATCAACCCAGGTACTAACCCCAGAACGGAGTAGGACCAGGGAAACGACATGATAGCCAGGCAGATGTACTCGGAGAAGAGCAGCGCCGCCGTCTAGAGACCAGGGCTCATATTAGCACGAATACTCACTTCCCACTGACAGCTTTGCGGCCACACACCTTTTGCCAACTACATGTGCGATATTTGATCGAATTCTCTGCCTCCAGTTGAATTTGTCTGCCCACTTCCCCTTCGGAGTCCGAGCTCGAGCCGGGCTGTAATTTCTGGCTCTCCAGGTCCGCATGTTTCGTCTCGTCGGTCAGACTGTGCTCAGGGATGGAGGAGCGGCCCGTGGGCTCGGGGACGGTGGACTCCGCCATTTTATGGAGCGGACAAGCCGCTGGTGTAGGGAGCGAGCGAGGATGGAAGCTGAAAATAGGAGGGAAACCTTCGGAGGCATGTACTGCGCTTGGAGGGAAAGAAGAGTCTGGTTTTGTGGGGAGAGTCTTAGTCGGGGCATCAGCACATGGATAGAGTGTGGGGATACTTACCTTGAACTAAGGAGAATGACTGACTGACTCAGTCAGTGATTGACAAGCAATGGAAACAGCACTGTTATGAAGAACTGAAAACCAGAAGTAAGTTGTCAGAGTGAGGGAAGTAGAGATGGCGCAGGAAAGATGCAAGAGCCGACAGCTGAAATCTTTCCACCCACTGACAGACAAACGGACGGAGTGACAGACAGACAGAAAGACAAGAGGGTGCGCCGATCGCCCCGCGTCAAGGCCAGGCTAGCCCCGAAGGAACAGGCAGAAAGTTCCCAAGCAGTCAATCAATGAGCAATAAGATGAAAAAAAGACTGGTTGCAATCTCCGATCCCAACTCAGGTTGTTCCCTGTTCGGATTTCGCAGCGACGGACTCGGAAGTTCTGCTTTCATGAGATGACGTAGCAGCCCATCCGGCGGAACAACAGCAACATACTGCAGTATGTATGGCTGAACATTGACAATTGGGTTCCATAGTGAGGTTTGGAACTGTTGAGGATTGCTATAGTAATAATATTCGCTGTAATTGGCCCGAGTATATCGAGTAACAAGAACTTCCAGCAACGGTATTTCTTCTCCATCCCCGGGACTGCTCAAACTACTCGGTACAGTTTCCTCCCCGCCCGCCGCACTCGGCAATTCCCCGCTCCACACCAGTTGTCCATGGGGCGGATGGACCCGATCAATGTCGATTTCCTTCTTAGTCTGCCCTCCGCCCCGCATTCGGCCGGTTGACATTCCACTGGCATTGCTCGTGCAGAGAAGGTAGATTATGCTTGAATCGCAATCTCAATACTTCTTCTGCTGCAACCGCATTCCAACGATACCAACATCGACTGTGCAAAGCGCATCATGCGATCATTGCTCTAATACTTTCAAAGGATTTAATCCCAGTCCGTTGTGGAGCCTATCAGAAATCTCTGCTGACCAGGGCTGCATCAAAGAAAAAAAAATCGAAAAGTAGGAAGAGGGGCAAACGGAAGTTGGACCTCGAATTAACCTCTAGCACGCTATGCGCTAGTTGATGGCGTGCTTCCAAGGTTGTTGTTTGTTCACATCGCCTTTCCACGTGTGAGATGTCGGACCTTACCATGTTTCTCCATGCACACACACCTCCCAGACAACCAGGTTACTCGCCCGGGTGTCGGGGATGTCCGAATCGAGCAGATCGATTTTGGCTGGGAAGAAAAAACTGGCCAAGTGTGGCTTGACCGCTATGATATCATCCGCCCCGACCGAGTGGGTGAAGCGCAGCGCCACAATCCCGCACTAGTGGCTGGAACTGCCAACGGGTCTGCCATTCTAGACCGTCTCGACTGCTACTGTTCCTATGAAGTGCATATGATTGCTTACGTCTCACTGATAATAACCCTCACCCCCATCTGAAAGATGTGAAAGTAAAAGAAAATACTACATAGAGCTTTTGTGGTATCTGCAGGATGCGATTGACTAAATACAACACGAAAGTGGGTTTCACATACCCTCGTCTTCCCCGGCCAGCAGGGCCGCATAATCCTCCATCGACGCGAAGGTAGGCAGGTGCTTGAGCTTGCGCCGCTTCTTGCGCTCGCTGTTCTTGTCCTTCTCCTTCTCGTCCTTGGACGCACTCGGCAGGTGAGCATCGAGCTCCACGTCTGACGGCAGCTCTTCGTCGCTGTCGATGAACGCCTCCTCGTCCGAGACGTCCATGTCGAACGCATCCTCGTCGTCCGAGAGCTCCTCCTCTGCCTTGGCCTTCTTCGTCTTCTTGGCCGGGGCGGGGACCTCGTCGATGTCCTCCATCTCGTCGTCAGAGTCGAGGTTGATCTCCACTTCATCGTCACCGCCGGCATCTTCCTCGTCGCTCTGGTCGTAGGCAGACTCCAAGTCGTCCAGATCCAGGTCGTCGTCGTCGCTGACGCCAGCTTCCAGGTCGGGCCGAGAGTCCACCAGGGCCTTCCAGATTTCGGACTCGGCGTCGCTGAGCTCGCCCTCCTCGTCCTCGTCACCCGCATCCTTGCCGGCCTTCTTCTTGCGAGCCTTGTCCTTCTCCTGGCCCTTGCTGACCCGGTTGAAGTACTCGTGGAAGAAGACATCCTCGGCTGCCACATCTTCTGCCTTCTTCTTCCAGAAGGCTTCCGAGTTGAGCGGTAGCTGCGCGCCAGTCTTGACGGCGGCAACAAGGCGGTCCTTGACGTCGCTGCCGGCAAGAGGCTGCATGATCGAGGCTCCACGAGTGACCGCAGCCGCCTTAGGAGTGCGGTAAACGAAACGGTCGAGGAAGTGCGTGAGAGTATGGATAGTCAAATCGGGCTGTCCGCTCATCACCTGGTGATCAAGTAAATGAGCCGCATTGACCGAGACAGAGGGATGGAAGTGAGACAGGTAGGGCAGCTGGAAGTCGTCGAAAGTCAGCGACTGCAGAATAATGGTCAAATAGCTATACGTACAAGTTCCCAGAGACACGTGCGGTCGGCGTTGCTGTGCTCGGGGTCTCTTTTGCGGGGGTCGTAGCGAATAGACGGTTTCTCGGGTTTGGTCTCTTCAGGCTGTTCTTGAGGCTCATCGTCCTCGTCAGGAACGTCCCGGAAGACTTCCTCCTCATCGTCTTCGTTAAGTTCGGGCTGGTCAAATAAGGCGCGGAGATCGGGGAACGTCTTCTCCAGCTCACGAATCAAGTAGAAGACACCGCAGATGAAGGCGGGCTGGTGCATTCCAAGGATCTGAAGGAGACGTTTGACAAAGGCCTTGACACGGCGAGTGTTCAAGTCATTCTTCAGGGACTTAAACAACAGGTTGAGGTAAAGGGATTGCTTGGAGGACGTTGCCAGGCGAGGATCGAGCAGAGATTCGTACAGAGTCCGGTAGAAGCGATCCGCACCGACTTGGTGAGAGGCCGTCAATTGCTGGATCAGCATGAGCGCCTGAATACTCGTGTTGAAGTTGGAAGAGTGCGTGATGCGGAAAAGAGTGCCGAGGTGCTTCGTCAGGCTGATTTCTGCGTTAGCTTTGTCAAGACTCACGGAGGATATAGGACATACCGTTCACCGTCGGAGCTGGTAAAGGGATAAGCTCGGTTCACACCGGTCAAAACCGCGGAGGTCAACTTGTCTTGCATCTCTTCAGTTTGCGCTTGACCCTTGTCATCGTCCTTGCCCTTGCCCTTGCCCTTGCCCTTATTTCCGAATTTGCCATTCTTCTTGCCCTTGTATCCCTTGCCCTTGTCTTCCTTGGCAGGCTTCAATAAAGAAACGAAGAGGGCGAAGTAGATGTCGAGCAACTTCTCAGCGACCTTCTCCTCCTTGAGACTCAGAACCGTCTGGTTTAGTGAGATGATAGCGTAGTACTTGGCGTGCTGGCTTTGCCCAGGTCGGAAGAGGACCTCCTCAACACCTGAAATAATCGTGGACTTCATGAGAGGATGCGCCTGTTCAAGTTGCAAAAGTAGGTAAGACGCCCGCGAGGCAATCTTCTTAGACGTATCACCAAGCTTATTCACCAACAGGCGCAACAGATTCGTCTCCTGCTCAGGCTTCTCCTTCAACAGTTCGTAGACGTAGCTGACAGCGCGCGAGCGGGAGAAATCGATCTCGTCGTTGCACCAAACTTCGAGAATTTTGAGAACCTCAAAGTACTGATCCTTTAGGAAATGCTCGTAGGCCCAGACAATCAAATGGCTTTTCTGAAGACCATTGGGAAGAGCATCTCCTTCAGACCAGCGATTGCTCACACCTTGCAAGGCAGCCACAAGCGATGGCTGGTTGGCGAAGGCCCGAAGTCTGCGATCGCCGGGCAAGATGGTTCCCTGGGCGAACATATCTTTGAGCGACCGAAGAACTTCAACGGCCTGAGCACGACTGCGCTTCTTTCCGAGGGCAATCAAGTTCTCCAAAGCCTTGGTGTTGTGAAGGGGCGATTCTTGTACGGCAAGCGTCAAAGCGGAGATCTTATCGCTGAGCGTACCAGTGGACATGATAGTACTGTAGAACTTGTGCGACGAAGAGGCAGAAGCTGCTTGCGCATCAGCGTATTCTTTAGCCTCCTTTTCGAGAAGCGAATTTGCGTAAGTGTGGAAACGCTCGATTAGGTGGCGGGCTACAGGGCTCGATTCCTTCTTCGCAATGGTTGGGAGTTCGATCATGAACCAGTCGGACCTCGGAGGAACGGACTGATCGTCTGGTCAGCATGCTTTGCCAGAATCATGGATGAATTGACTTACCAGTTTGGAGAACTCCTTGGGGAAGATATTTTCAGCAGCGGCCTGCTTGGCGGCCTTCTCCTTCTTGTCCTCCTTCGGGGCTGGTGTGGGAAGTTCATCCTCTGAGACCTCTTCTTCTTCCTCTTCCAGGTCCTCGTCATCGTCTTCAGCATCGAGCTCCATGCCACCAGTCTCTTCATCGTCGTCCTCTTCAGCATCCTCTTCTTCCTCTTCCTCTTCTTCTTCAACTTCGTCGTCTTCAAGGTCATCGGGAACCACCTGGCCTGCGGCAGCTAGCATGCTAGCCAGCTCCTTCCTCAGAGAGTCTTCCTCAGACTTGCCCTTAGGCTTCTTCTCGGTGGCATCCTCGACCTCGGACTCGGAGTCGACACCGGCCAAGAGATCCAAGTCCTCTTCCGTACCCCCAAGGGCCAGAATCTCCTGCCGTAGAACATCGTCACTGTCCTCCTTGTTCTTTGGCTTTCCCTTCCCGATATCCTTCTTCGCCTCCCCAGCAATCACATCACCATTGCGATCGCGCTTCTTTCCCTTGTTGTTGTTCTTATCGTCGGCGGGCGCCTGCTTCAGCTGAGGTTTCGACGCAACCTGCTGGCTCTTCTTCGGTGTATCAGCCGGCGCCGACTTTCCCTTGCCGTTCTTCGACTTCTGCTTGGCGTTGTTCTGATCCTTCAAGCGCTGTTCAATCTTCTGTCGCAAGCCGGCGAATGCACTCTCCTCCAACTGGGGGACAGACTCAGCGGCAGGGGTGGACTTTTTGGCGGCAGCTCCACCACTACCACCACCGAGAGGGATGTTGTTCGCTCCAGAGGAGGAGGAGCCTTTGCCCTTATTGCCTTTGGCCATATTGACAGGGTGGGATGAATGGCCAAAATGCTTGCTCTCCTTCAACTTTTTTTCTGCCGCCCAAAAAATTATGGGGGGTCCGCTCTTTCCAGGCCGCCGGAGAAAATGGCGGGCCGATCTGCCGTAGTACTTGCTGTGCCCGACCCTCGGACCATGTTCACTATCATATTGGGTTTAGTGCCTGGGCCGATAAGAACCGCGCTTCTTTCTTGCGGGATGCGCGCATTGCCAGCGGAGATGTGAATCTCTCTCCCTCCGTTGAAAACACCTCGAGGCTGTGCTTCGGGATTTGGCGTCTTCATGATCTCGCGCATACGCCCTATAGTGGGCCGGGCGCCCGGAGTTCCTCGACTGTACCTTGGTATCTCTCAATTCGGGTATAGGACGTCTAAAAACGCCTTCCATGTATGAGATATTATCCGTCATTGCTTGTATAAGATCTAACTAATCGTACTGTCAGACCGATGGCAGGACTCGGATCTCCAATTTTTGGATTCCAACAGGAGGTATTACGAAGAAGCCTGTCGAGGGTGAAAGAGGTACATCTCTAAATTAGATCATCGATCACAGCTCCGGGAACTGACGCTACACAGAGGACACAAATGACCTCCTAGTGAGGGGTGGCTTCCTACGACAGGTACTTTCAGGTCTCTTTTTGGCAATTACAGGCCTAATCAAATTCATAGGCGTACGCAGGCATCTTCCACATGCTGCCATTGGGGTTACGTGTCCAGGATAAGCTTGAGAGACTCATAGATAAGCACATGCAGTCAGTCGGTAAGTCTACGGCATCACGATCTTACATCCATACTGAGACGTCTAATGTATGAAAAAAGGCGCATCTAAGGTGTCGCTCTCGTCTATATCATCCCAAGAGCTCTGGGAGCAATCGGGACGCCTCAAAGAGGGATCGGATGTAAGTCTCTTGCTATCTTCTCAGCTGCGAGCTCCCCCTAAACAACCGGCAGGTCTTCCGTTTCCTCGACCGCAAAGAAGCACGCTTTCTCCTCGCACCCACTCATGAAGAGGAAATTACTACCCTTGTCGGAAGTCTTACCAAGTCATACCGAGATCTGCCCGTGCGCGTGTACCAGATCTGTCAGTAAAGCTTTCCCACTCCTCTCGACCAACTCTAATCATGAAATAGCGAGAAAATACAGAGATGAGCAGAGACCCCGGCAGGGTCTCCTTCGCGGTCGGGAATTCATCATGAAAGACATGTACACGTTCGACTACAGTCCCGAGACCGCTCTCCAGACTTACGTAGCTGTCAAAGGCGCCTACACACGGCTCTTCGACGAGCTCAAAATCCCCTACCTGGTTGCTGCTGCGGATTCAGGTAATATGGGCGGGAGCCTGAGTCACGAGTTCCACTTCCCCAGCGCGAAGGGTGAAGACACAGTCATCAGCTGCACCAGTTGCGACAATGTGTACAACGAGGAGCTCGCGGACGGAAAGGCTCACGCTGGCGTGGACGAACAGCCTCAGGCTCAACAGAAACCTGGCTTTGACACCGGTGAAAGCTCTGGTGAGGCCATCCCCGCCGTCTCCGTCGGCCTTTGGATGTCCATCTCGAAAGACAAGAACACGCTGCTGCGGTGCTGGTTTCCGCAGTATACCCTCCAAGAGACCCCTGTGGAAAGGGAGGTTAACTCGCACGCCGTCAAGTCCGTCGCCGACGCCGCTGGGATGGACATCGACATCAGCGTCGAGAACCCGCTCCAGCAATGGGCCACACACGTCAAGTCCCACAAGTCTTCCGCTGAGCGCCCGCGGATCGTGGATCTGTACGACTCGCGCGTGCGCGCATACAAGCGCCCCCCGCTTACCGACACATTGGAGGAGGTCGGCTGCACAGCGGAACACGTGGATTTCTCGAAGCTGGATCGTTTCCCAGGCACGAACAACCACCTGAACCTGGTGAGGGTCCACGAGGGCGATCGATGCGCCAAGTGCGGCGAGGGTCTGGCGCAGACGCACAAGGCAGTCGAGCTCGGTCACACATTCCACCTGGGCACCCGCTACAGCGATGTCCTCAAGGCCACCGTGATGGTCGACCAATCTGCCATGCCCAAGAGCAAAGACAACAGCAAATCCAGCCCCCAGACCGTACCTATGGAGATGGGGTGCCACGGAATTGGTGTTTCGCGCATGATCACTGCGGTAGCGGACAGCCTCGCGGACGGCAAGGGACTGAACTGGCCTCGCGTCATTGCACCGTACGAAGTCATCATCGTGCCAGGCAAGGGGCTCGAGGCGGAAGCGGAGAAGGTCTACGACGCACTGACCGTGGCGCCTGGCTCTGGCGCTGGAGCCTTGGACGTGATTCTGGACGACCGCGACAAGCAAATGGGCTGGAAGCTGGGCGATGCGGACCTAATCGGATACCCGGTAATCATTGTGGTAGGTAAGGGATGGAAGAAACAGCAAACCTTGGAGGTGCAATGCCGTCGGCTGAGCGTGCGTGAGGATGTGTCACTTGAGGCTCTTCCGGCGTTTGTGCAATCTCTGCTGCAGCGATTGTAAGCGCTTTTGTGTGGGTTGTAGGCTATGCTGATATCCAAGATCGGGGCTATGCTGTTCTTCCCGAGGCCGAGTGGGACGGAGCTTTGTAAGATACAAAAACCATTGAATGAACAATCAGAAGTAGATTGACCGCAAATTATACCCCACTCCTTTCAAATGCGCCGATAAAGAAGATGAGTCAACTTCTTAGATCACTGGTGAGATCTATCGTTTAAAGGTCCAGGAGACAAAGAAGTTTTAGGCAGTCTGCCTGAAACTATTGAACTCTTGGCATCAACGGGTGCTAGGTATTGTTCGCCGTGCCTGGAAAGATTCACCCGACCTCAACTATATAAGGCGACCAATCCTTTCGATTGATTCGGTTGATCAATACGTGGCCGATCAACATCACTCGATCAACCCACAACTAATCCACCTCCACACACACACACACACACCTCACAAACAATCCCCACAACAACAACAACCATGTCCACAACACCAAACCCCCACCCCTTTACCGCCCCGCCAGCGGTAACCACCGTGCCCCGCGTGGGCATCGCCGTCCTCATCTTCGGGCGCTCCAATCAAGTCCTGCTCGGCGAACGCAAAGGCAGCCACGGCGCCGGCACCTGGGCCCTGCCCGGCGGCCACCTCGAGCCCGGCGAGACGTGGGCGGCGTGCGCCGCCCGCGAGGTCCTCGAGGAGACCGGCCTCCTCGTCTCGCGGCTCCGCTTCCTGACGGCCACCAACGACGTGATGGCGGCCGAGAACAAGCACTACATCACCATCTATATGGGGTGCACGCCGGCGCGGCGCGAGGACTGCCGGGCCCCGCCGCCCGTCATGGAGCCCGACAAGTGCCGTGAGTGGCGCTGGGTGGAGTGGGAGGAGGTCACGCGGTGGTATCGGCTGCAGAAGGAGGCGGAAGAACGTGCAAACCTCACTGCTGGGAATCCCGCTGGGGGTTTGGCCCGGCTTGAACACCCGCTGTTCTTGCCGCTGATGAACCTCTTTCGGCAGCAGCAGTATTGGTTGCCGTTGCAGGAGTATCAGTTGTTGATGGGGTGGGAAGAGGATCGGTAGATGATGGTTAGCGAAATGATGAGGGCTTAGATATTATGATTTTCTGATAATGGGATTTCTCTCTATGATGTACTTTGTTTTCTTTGGTGTTTTGTATCTTTAGACTTCGGACATTTACTTTGCTCCAGGAGTTGATTTTATGTTCTGCACGGTGAGTAAGCGGTTCATTTACTGACACAATGGGTGCACAATGAACCATCAACTTGACTCCTCACTATGGCACCTGCGCCTTCTTCTATTCTGTACATCCTTATATCATTTATCTATCTTAAGGGTTCATATATTGTATGCCTGTTTATTTGCTGGATTATATGACATGTATATTGTGCTTGCATGAGACGTTCAAGTTCTACAAGGCATTATCTTTTTTACCAGGTCGTCGCAGCAGGATAGGGTGCTAGAACTATAGAATGAAGTTCTTATAAATCACCTACACGGACTAGCGACCCTTACCTTTTTTCTTTGGTGAGAGCAGAAGAGAAAGCCACAGTTTTGGTTCTGCCATGCACCCCTCGCGATAGCACTTCACTGCGACGAAAAGAAAAAGACCTGGAATGGGCCGTGTAAATGAATCAGTCGAAGCGCTTTAATGCTTCATGAGCTTCTTGAAAGATTCCCGGACGCTCAACTTGCGAAAAGAGCTCCAATCAAGGCACTTTACCTCTCAAAAACCAACTCACCCTACTACACCCAGCAATCCTCCCCTCAAGAAAAATGGCACCAACCACAGAACCTCTCATCCGCCTAACTCTCCGCCTCAAAAAGCGCGAAGACATCACCCACGAGCAATTCCACCATCACTGGACCCATGTCCACGGACCGCCCGTCAGTGACTGGCTGCGCCCCCACGGGGTGATCAGATATGTTCAGGTACGGTACTCAGCTACCACTACCCCCTCGAAGTAAGCACCTTCTTTGTGCTGGGGTTTCCATGGGTTGGGTCGAATATGTATGTGCTGTATAGTACCACCAACCGCCCGAGCTTCGCGCCAAAGCCGCCGCCCTATGGGACTTCCTGGGGGCCGATTCCATCTCGGACTGAGACGGCCACGTCCAGCTCTACGTGCTGTCTCTGGACTGCATTGCTAATGCGCTCAACCACCCCTTCTACATGGAGGTGGTCGTGCCCGACGAGCAGAAGTTGATTTCGGCCCAGTCGTGCCAGAAGACCGTTAGGTATGAGGAGTGCTTTATTATGGATAATGAGGTGGTGAAGAGGTAGAAGCTGCACTACTAGTTATGGGGAGACTTGATTGTCGGCGTTTAATGAGGGCAAAGCTATCTGGCTGTGGTATTGAAGATAGTAGATTGAAGCTATCAGGTTGCTTCGTTGGATGGACAGTATATACTTCTGAAGGAACGTTAGCGAATCATGGGCCCAAGCCTATAAGAACGCGGCATCAATGATTCCGATCATAGTGAAAGAGGTCTATAGTACTCAAACTTCAAGCATTTTCTCAACATGAGCTACCTACCGAGTGAACAGTTTCATACTTCATCCGATAGAGAGTTACTGTACAATTGCGCAAGCCCATTGGCTCCAGTTGGCAGTCTTGGCGCAGCCACCGCTGCACTGGAGGACCAGCTGCACAATTACTAAGCATTACAACCTCTCCAGCACAAAAGATAATCACCATCTCCCCCCACTTACCACCTCCCATACAAACCGTAGCCGCAAACCAAGCTTCACCCGCACTTCAACCACAAGGCACCGGTACAGGCAATTGTACAGTACACCACCTACGCCAGCGTCAGGGCCTGCCACCATCCACACCATACCCAACACTCCCATCACAATCACCTTCAACATTCCATAATCTCAGCACTCTACACCCACGCCGCCATCATGTCCGAAAATAGCTCCTCCGACCCCCCACCAGGCTCAGGTAAAGTCCAACCCCCCCGCCCCCCCCCCAAAACCCAACCCATACTGACTTTTTCAAACTGCAACAGTAAACATCGCCTCCCTCTCCGTGCCCCAACTCCGCGCCCTGCAGACCCGCCTCTCCTCGGAGCTCGAGCACCTGACGACTTCGCACGCCAAGCTGCGCGCCGCCCAGCTGAAGTTCCGGGACTGCGTGCGCTCCATCAACGAGGGGGTGGTGGGCTCGGCTAAGAAGGGCACCGCGGGCGGCCCGGAGCAGGAGATCCTCGTGCCCCTGACGAGCTCGCTGTACGTGCGCGGCAGGCTGGCGGATCGGGAGAAGGTGCTCGTCGATGTCGGGACGGGGTTTTATGTGGAGAAGGTAATTTTCCCCTTATTTTGTCGTGGTGGTTGCTCTGGGCTGGGTTTACGGTGGGATTGCTTGGGGAATGGGTCGGGATGATATTGGGGATTATTTCGGAACTGGGGCTCGATTGGAATGCGTGGGCTAATTTGTTTGCTCGCTAGACTGCTCCCAAAGCCATCGAGTTCTACGAGAATAAGGTCAAGGATCTGGAGACCAACCTCACCGAATTGGAGAAGATTGTACAGACCAAGAGTCAGCAGCAGAGGCTTTTTGAAGACGGTATGTTGCACCATCTTATTATTCAACCATCCGGCAGGGAGTTTCTGAGAAATGATTTTTCTATTCGATATTACTACGATTACAACCATGCTAACGCTTCAGTGATCAGCTTTGAGACAGAAATTGCTGGCCGAAGGGGCCGCATCCTCCGCTTCCGCTACCGCCGGTGCAGGTTAGTTGGTAAGCCACTTGTATTAGGTACAGAAACAAAGCAAAGAACAAAAAAGGCATTAATCAACACCCTTGCCATGGCATTGAAACAACATTCTGAAAAGAGAACGTAGCTCTCCATACTACCCCGAAGGGCAGGCTTTCTGGTGACTTAGAACAAAGTCCCGAGGTCTGCATCTAGAGCCCTAGCATTGCCGCTGGAGGCTGGGCTTGCCGAACGACCATCAGCCTTAGCCTTAACGCTTCCGGTGGCTGACATGGCGCGGAGCGGTCCGGACCTAAGAAGGGCTGCAACCCGTTTGATCAGGTCGATGAATTCCCAGAGACCCTGGGACTTGTCCTCCGATTCATTGGCGGCCGGGAAAAAGGTCTGAAGATTCGGGTCGTAATTGGCTGCATGTCCCACGGGCATATTGGCATGTTTGCCGAGCAAGTTATCCCAAGTGAAGTCGAAGACCGATGCTCCCCAGGAAACTCGAGGTTTCCCAAAGGGTGCTGCAAAATTCAAGGAAGCCGAGTCAGTTGTGGAGGTTCGGGTGTATTCGTCGTACCGTGCTATCTCCAGAATATATCTGGTCCCCTTCAGGCGGTACCGAATAGCCGTTTTCTCGATGAAGCGGGAGACTGGTGCCGAGGCATGGAAGATGACTTTGCGAACAGGATTAGCCGAGATGTCGCCCATAACATCGTTGCTCTTGAACTTAATCGTGTGGGAGAATTCGCGTAAAGCTCTCTCGATTGCAGTTGCTTCATAAAACTCCAGTGATGCGATTTCCAGCTGCCAATCAGACCTATCACGACGAATTAGAACTACGTCGAACATCATACTGGACACAAAACAGTATGTTGGACAGACTCACCTTTCGAAGTCGATTATTCCAACCTGCAAATGTGAGCGCGAGTCCTTGACTTGGCCGATCTTGCGCGGTTTTAGCCAGCGGCTTTGCGTCATTGCATAATCGCGTGCTCCAGGGCATTTCGCAAATTCGGCCTCCAAGCGTAGCAGAGAATTCTTCTGACCGGAGAATTCGAAGTTCACAGAGAATGCTGGCTCGGGCTGTCTCAGGGAGTCCAAGCTACGGTCGTATGGCTCAAGAAGACTGGTGGCGGAAAGCAGTCTGGGAAGCAGCACAGACTGGTTGATCTTAAGACTGTTAATTTGTCAGCTTTGGATCACGGATTTCAGGACAGAATCACACGCTCACCCTGGGATCAGGCGACCCTTGGTATTCTCATGGAACAACATCTCACGGAACTCCTCAAAGCCCCACGCCGGTTTCCCCTGCGATGGCTGACGGTAGTAATCGAGCACGAACAAGCCGATATTGGCTCTCATGCGAAGGTGTCCACGCACGTAAACTACACTCTTCAAGCATTTGTCAATCACTTTGAGAAGATGGGCATTGTTCCTTGACCGGATCAGCTCAGCTCGGCCCGGCCAACTATCCAAATCGGCCTTGCTCATTGGGATCTTGCGAAATAGTGGTCTAACAAAGCCCGCCTCTTTTCTCGCGGAGACTTCACCATGGCCACTTTCAAGGGGCTCAACCAAGTAGATCTTCGACTTGACGAGACTTTTTGCCAAAATCTCGGCCCATTTGTTACGCAGGAGCTGGACAAGCAGGCCGGTTTTGGCTTGGTCATAGCCGAGAGCGCAGATGTGATCAGGCAACTTATTGTCAACGAACAAGTGACACGTGAACCTGATACGAACAGGATCAAGAGCTTCCAGGTCGGTGCCAAGGGCATCACGCATGGAGGGGCCCTCCTTTGGCCACAGAAAGAGTAACTAGTTGAGAGCTCGAAATCAGAAAGATTGATTTTGTAATTGTCATTTCGGTTCTTCACTGACCTTCTCAGAGAACATAAACTCCAGCTCAGGTGCCTTCCGGTATGCGAGAATCAAGGCATCTTCTAGCTCAAGTTGATCTGCAAGATCCTCCTTTCCAACAGAAAAGGCAGAGGTCTTCGTCCATTCCCGTTTCTTGGGCATGGTGAGGGTGTCACATCTAGCAAGAATGCTCTGAATGAGCTTGGTAGCCTCAGAGACCTGATAGGATGCCCCCCAGAGATGAATCACCTATATACATCAGCTACTTCTTGCTCAGTTGGGCAAGACACATCATACATCATGATTTCCGGCGGGCGGGTTGATGTAAGCTCCGGTCTTTCGACAGATGTCATCGAAGACATCATGGCGTCCCTGTTGTCCGAATGGGCGTCGATGCGAGACTGACCGTGCCACAGTGCAGAATCTAATCCCCAGTTAGTACTAACTTCAGGTCTTGATTTAGACTTCATACGTGTCTCTAATCTCTCTGAACGGGTGCGAAAGCTTGATGGTTCCTAGACCAAGTGATATTAGTTGGAATGAAGTTGTACGAGAGAATGATTCTTACCTGAAGGCTGGATGCCATTTCTCCATTGCGACTTTGACGGAGTCTCCCCCGGAAGATGAGTCCGGGGCGAAGACGAGCCTCTTTTGCCTCTTGAGGCACCACGTCCTCTGTAAGCGCCAGCTGTTCCTCGGGCAGGGGCGGGGTAATGGACAGTGGTGTTCTTGTTCTTAGATGTGACAGATGCTTGACGAACATGCTCGGCTTTGGGAGTGGGCTCAGCCTGCGATGCAATGTTTTGCACGTGCAAAGCCTCAGTCTCAGACGGGTTCTTCTGGGGACTTGGCCGTCCGTAGCCGGGCAGGGCCCATTCTAAGAATAGAAGATCAGGATCTTTCCCCGTAGAATGGAACTGACAAGGTTCAGGCAACTTTACCTTCTGCCCCGGAGGCCTCGAAGCTGGTGATTGATTAGCTTTTGATCATTGGTTCGACGACAACAGGACAGCTTACTCCATGTTGACCGAGTTCTTCCCAGCCAAAAGCTGGGCTGAGGAATGAGGGGATACTCCTCGACTGAAGCATTCAGTGAGCAAATCGATCAAAGCAGCAAGAGGGCAGATAGAAGTCTAATGAAGTGAGTGAGCGATGGAGCTGACGCGTGCTGACGGAGAGGTTTAGGCAGAAGAAGAGAAGATGTCATGGACAGAGTGGGAAGTCACCCGGAGTGACTTTGGGGGGGGGGGGGGGGCAACGAAGAGGAAGGACAGAGGATGAGACACAACAGCCACAAACCAAACAGCACTCAGCGGCTTCTACAGTCAGAAATTCCGTTAGTAAGTGCAATTGGCCAATGAAAGAATTAATCGGTAAGAAAAACTGCCCGTTTTCCAATCACCCAGTAGCTGTCTCGGCAGCCTGCATTCACCGCTGGAACGACGAAAAGTGAAGTTGGGGGCTCGCTTTCTTTGGAATGTCTCCAGAAGCTGTATCAACGGACCTCCAAGGCTCTCGCAATGTATCTCCAGGGGTGATATTTTTTTTCATAGACAATCCATTTGCAAGTTTGGTGGGTGTTACGGACAGGCCGTAACAGCGCTTGCTGCCTCGTTTAGCATAAGTATAGCGCACGCCATCTGATTGGCGCGGAAACGGCAGTGCGGGCGCTAATCCTAAAATGGGAACAGCAGCACAAGCGCCGGGCGCGCGGCCGGCGCATCTTTTCGGGTTCCCTTGTCAACATAGTACCGACCATAATCAATTGTCTCTCCCTTGGCTGGGAATCCGACTATCACAAACAATGGCCTCCGACTCATCGAGCCAAGAACCTGGCTTGCAGTCGTACAAGCCGAGTGTACGGAAACGTGCCCAGCTATGGATGACCAAGGGGGGGCTTGTCCGGGACGACTCTGATGACGAGCTGGGGGAAGAAGACCACCCATGGGAGTGGATCTACGACACAGAGGACACTGATGATCAGGATAGCAAACCGACTGCCGACTCTGCGCAAGATACCCCGAAATTGATGCGCAGACGCTCCGTCCGTCCGAATGCCAAACGCTCGCAAAAGATAATCGGGGCTCGCATGGGCACGTTCGAATGCGCCCTGGGCCAGGTGGTGCTGCTCAAGTCCCCAGAGCCCGGCAAGGATTGGATCGGAATCATCACAGAGTTTTTGGAACAAGAGGATGATGATGACGAATTAATCAAGTCGGCCAATATCATGTGGTTTGCCTCTCCGGACGAGTTCATGTCGACGAAGAACAAGAGACGATCGGATGCCCTGCCCAACGAACAATACTTGACGGCGGACTTCAATATCAACCCCCTCACCTCTATCAACGGCAGAGCCACGGTCATGTCGAAGGATGCGTTTTACGCCAAATATCCTGGCGGTGTTCCTCCGAAGGGAAAGGAAGCTCTGGCGGATTTTAACAAGTGCATTGTGTGTCGCAGAGGAGTGAACCAGGTTCAGGGAAGATATACCGAAGAGTTCGTCTGGGAAGAGGTTTATCGAGAGGATAGATTGTTTGATCTTATTGATATGATCAAGAATGGGCTCAAGGTAGCCAAGAAACGCAAGCAGGTTGATAATGATGTGAGTCTAACAGACTGCTTTGTCACAGCTCTACAAGCTAAATAACTTGGAAGTATGTCGAAGGTAAAATTGAAGAGGATGTCGCTCCGAGTACACCCAGGAAAAGGCAAAAAGTGGCTTCAAATGCCACACCTCAATCCAGGCGTCAGAAATCCCTGACCACGCCGACTCATAAGAGGTAAGAGAATGCGCAATATCACACCAATTTAGCCTGCCACAGTCTCACATTTCGTCATAGGATCGTTGTCAAAAAACCACTCGAGTTTACTCCCCTTGGTACCCGCATCCTTTCACCATCACAACTAGCCTCTCCTTATCGACAGGCGCGTACTCTCCTCCATGTGTCTACCGTGCCGCAATCGCTCCCTTGCCGGAAAACGGAGTTTGACGCAGTCTACAGCCATCTCAGCGCAGCCATCATGGAAGGAACAGGTACTTGTATCTACATCTCTGGCACACCCGGAACGGGTAAGACAGCAACCGTGCGGGAGGTCGTGGCTCAGTTGAACGCCGCCGTCTTGGCGGAAGAGATGGACGATTTCATCTTTGTCGAGATCAACGGCATGAAGGTGACTGACCCTCATCAGTCTTACTCTCTGCTCTGGGAGGCCCTCAAAGGTGATCGTGTATCTCCGTCTCACGCTTTAGATCTTCTTGAACGGGAGTTCTCGCACCCTTCCCCACGGCGAGTGTCCTGCGTCGTCTTGATGGACGAACTGGATCAGCTCGTCACCAAGAACCAGTCGGTGATGTACAATTTCTTCAACTGGCCCGCCCTACGACACTCCCGACTCATCGTTCTCGCCGTGGCCAATACTATGGATCTCCCCGAGCGAACCCTAAGCAACAAGATTTCCAGCCGTCTCGGCCTCACCCGTATCACCTTCCCTGGCTACAAACACACCGATCTAATGGAGATCATAAGTACACGAATGGCTAACGTACCAGGTAACATCGTGGACGCAGATGCCATCCAATTCGCCAGTCGCAAGGTCGCCGCCGTCAGCGGTGACGCCCGTCGCGCTCTAGACATCTGCCGTCGTGCCGTGGAGATTGCCGAACAACAAGCCAACGAGGCCGCTCGGAAAGAGCCCCTCGAAACCATCGACGAAGACGACACCGAATCGATGCCCCCCACCCCGAGCAAAACGCCCTTTCGCAAAGATCGAGCATCCAACAAGAAGACCCTCCCCCCGTCCCCGCAAAAGAGACCCCAACCCACCACCACTGGCACCAACAAACCCATCGTCGGGCGCGTCACCATCGCCACAATCAAACAAGCCATCCAAGAAGCCACCTCCACCCCGCTCCAGCAATCCCTCCGCTGTCTGCCCCTGGCCGCGAAGCTCTTCCTCGCCGCCCTCCTCGCCCGGGTCCGCCGCACCGGCATCTCCGAGTCCACCGTCGGCGACGTCATCGACGAAGCCAAGCGCATCGCCGATGCAGCCGTCGCCGTCGCCAGCGCGGCCGGCGTCGGCATCCGGGAGTTCTTGCTTGTCGGCGGCAGCGGCGCGCGGGTGCGTGCGCTGGGATCCGCGGCCATGGAGCTCATGAACTCGGGCGTGCTGGCGTTAGAGCACAGTGCGGGCGCGAAGGGCCCTCTCGGCAGCGCGGCTATTCCGCATCGGGGGGACCGCAGCGGGAAGGTGCGGTTGCGGGTCGCAGCGGAAGATGTGCGCTCGGCGTTCTGTGACGATGCAGAGGCCAAGGGGCTGGGGTTGGGGATCGAGCAGTGATCATTATCCATCGGGATGAGCGCACGTGATAGAGGCTGGATTTGTACAATATATTAGCATAGGAATAATGATACCCATGGTTTTGAGCACAAGCATAAATTGGTTGAGTATGTAGGGCAGAGATGAATGTCATGTGTTGAGTAAAGTGTACAAGCTGGTCATAGAGGTATGAGATGGTAAAAGCTCGAGATTGAAGCTCGGCTTATTCATTCTATGATACATCTAAATAGTCCATAGTATACCAGCAAGAAAGAGAAATCCAAACCACACAACGCTGGACGCCATAGTGCATACAATAACAAAACACAGAGAAGAACATCCGTGACCACCTCCGGAGCAATAGCAGAAAAGCATGAGAAGATTTTGTCATATTGAACTACCGTGAACAGGTTTGTACATCCACGGAAGCTGTCAAGGCCGGCAAGCGGGGGGTATTTTCCAGAAAAAAATAGGAGGTTTATGAAGAGGTAAATGGAAGGAAGAAGAAAGGGGGGGTTGAGGGGGTAAGAGTGGTCAGCTGGCTGCAGCAGCACGCAGGACACTAATACCTCTGCCGACCAAGGGTAGGAGCCCAAGTGACCGGATGAGACTCGGGGGTGGCCTCGTCGTCCTGCTTCCAGATCTTGATGGTCTTGTCGGCTTCACCGGTGATGAGGCGCAGACCGGTGCGGTCGAAGGTGGAGGACATGATGCCGGCCTCGGCCTCGAGGGAGCCGGGCTGGGCGGTGGACTCGATGGTCTGGTACTGGTAGCCGGTCTTCCAGTCCCAGAAGCACATGGAGCCGTTGTCGCCGCCGGAGAAGAGGACGTTGTCCTCGTTGGCGGCGAGGGTGTTGATGATGGCGTTGTGGCCCTCGAAGTTCTGCATGAACTCGCCCTCGGGGCACTTCCACTGCTTGATGGAGCCAGTGCTGGCGCTGGCGAAGGTGAACTCGCGCGGGTGGGTGACGATGTTGCGGACGCCCTTCTTGTGGTGCGTCAGCACGCCCATCGACTTGCCAGCCGCCAGATCCCAGAGCCGCACGGTCGAGTCCAGGGAGCCTGTGATGATCTGCGGGTCGGCCTCCTGGCACTTCACATCGGCGACGGTGCCGCGGTGGCCGGACAGGACGTGGACGTTGCTGCGCGTGCGCATGTCCCAGACGCGGGCCACGCCGTCGCGGCCGCCGGTGACGAGGAGGTCCAGGCGTGGGTGCAGGTCCAACGTGTACACGCCGCTCAGGTGACCGTGGTAGTGGCGGATGACCTTGTTGGTCTCGAGGTCCCAGCACTTCACCATCTTGTCCTCGCCGCAGGAGAAGAGGTACGGATGCCGCGGGGAGACGGCCAGGCCGCGCACGGTCGAGATGTGGCCGGTGAGGGTGAGCCGCAGCGCGCCGGTGGCCAAATTCCAGATCTTGATCGTCCGGTCACCCGCACCACTGGCAAACCATTCGTTGTTGGGCTCGACCGCTAAGCTGCGCACCCAGCCCAGGTGGCCGGATATCACCCGCATCAGCTTCCACGGCGCATGCCAGTCGGGTCTCTGTTGTCGCGTCGCCGAGGGTCGCTGGATCAGGCTCTTGGGTTCGTTCTCACCGCCGACGCCGCCCGCTGCCGGCCCGGGGGCCTTCTTGACCAGCGCCATCGACGCGCCGCTGCCGTCTGCGGCCGAGGCCTTGGTCTGAGATTGGATCTTGGGTCGTTTGGCGCGTCCGCTGGCGGCCGCCGCCGCTGCAGCGGCTTGTTTCGCAGCGAGGGCGGGGGGCAATTCTCGGACATCGTCGTATTCTGCTTTGCGTCGATAGGACAGTCCAATGGAGCCGCTGGCGACCGAGGGGGTGACCATCAGGTAGTCGGGACCAAAGAGTTCGGCGGTACGCTTTGCCGATAGGCGCACGGCCTCATCGGGCGATGTGGAGGGAACGACGTCCATTGTGTAGGTTGGTGAGGAGCAGTTTCGAGGTGATGGCGTGGGCGATTAGTCGGGGGCGTCCTGATCCCTCAGGACAGGGATGCGGTGGCTTTCAAACTTAAGAGTATCCGTAGAAGAGGTGCACACAGAAAGATGGGGTCTAATAGTGTGGTTGTAATTAGTATATGTGGAAATATTGGAGGCGTTGAATGAAAGAATGGTCGATAGCTTGAAGATGAGGTGAAGTTGCAGAGCTGCGGACTGAAGAAGCGAAGCTCTGGTTTTCCGCGGATGTTAATGCCTGAGGCATGCAAGGTGTCGAGGCCGCGGCTCTCCGCATCTTCAGGCCAACCATCAGATCATCAATCAACCCCGCCGCAAACAAGAAACAAGCAATAAACCACCTGCATTAATCATGAACGCTAGCATTGAAGCTAAGTATCCTCTTCATGAGGCTGCTCGAGAGGGAAAAGGCAGGTCTTTTCATTCTATCCGACCTTCAAACCTTGATCTATAACTAACCTCCATAGTCTCTACGGCCGAATCTCTCTTAAGCGTAAGAGCTGTCCCCGCACGGAATGACGAGTGGAAATATGTCAACTGACAGCATATGCAGGCGAATCCCAAGCTCGCTGCTACCAAAGATGACGACGAGCGTCTTCCCATCCACTGGGCTGTAGCCTACAATCATTTGTCTATCGTGGAGCTTCTCATCTCGAACAAGCACTTTGACCCCGACGTCGAGGTATGGCATCCAAGAAAGAACGCATGATAGTTCAAGCCTGCTTAAGTACCCTTCCAGGATGGATCCGGCTGGACCCCCTTGATGATTGCAGCTAGCTTGAAAAATGCTGAAGGAGATCCGATCATTGGTCTCCTGCTGAAGAAAGGCGCAGATGTCAGCGTTAAGAGCTCATCCGGACAGGTGCGTATCCAGCGAGCTAGATTCCTTACTGCCATCAGAAATGGCACCGAACTGTGGTTAACAACGCTCGTTGAAGAACGCCCTCCACTTTGCGACCTCTAAAGCCAATCTTTCCACTGTCCGCACGCTGATCGCCAACAAATGCAGCGCTCGGGTCAAGGATAGACGTGGCCAGCTCGCGCTTCATCGGGCTGCGGCTGTCGGTTCTACGCCTATCATCAAAATTTTACTCGAAGATGGCAAGAGTCCGGTCAATGCGACCGATATTGATGGGCTGACGGCGTTGCACCATGCGATCTCTGAGGGACATGGCGATGCGGCGATCACGCTACTCAAGGCCGGTGCGGAGGCAGACAAGAGAGATTCTAGCGGAATGCTAGCTATCGATATGGCACCAGATAGCAAGGTAGGACTTAAATTTTTCTAGGCAGGTTGTTTTGATGCTAATCACTGAGTAGGTCCGAAGCTACATCCTACAAACGGCGGAGAGAGAGGGAATCGATTTATAGGCTCGCAGCATAAAGATTCGGTGGGATCAAAAAATTGTCGGAGACAAAACAGATTCTCAATAAATAATTAGACTGGATACCCGGAGTCTTTTCCAGACCCAAGACTGTTTCAATAATTCTTTTTAACAAGCGGACATGCATCACATAACATCGTCTAGAGCGATCTAGCCCGGAGCAAAGACTCTCTATGTACAAAGGGAAAGATCTCAGTAGTAAAAAAGGGCGGCGTGCATAGAGACAATAGCCTCATTTCATCGTACTGTCGACCAACTCGCGGTAAATCTTCTTGAGATCGGCGATATCTGCCTCTAACTCCTCCACCTGCTCGCTCTTTTCTCCCAGCATTTCTAAGGTGGTCTGGTACCGCTGGTCAAGTTCATCAAACCGCTGTTCAAGCTCGTGCACGCGTGTATCAGAAGTTTGCTTCGTCTCAACTTCGCGCATTAGATCCACGACCTGTTGTCGGGCTTCGTCACGCTGCGCGGTAATCCGAGAAAGCTCGTCCTTCGATGCGGCGCGTTCGCTCTCGAGCCGGCGGACGGTGGCACTCATGCGCTCGACCAACTGCACTGAGGGTCCTGCGCCAACTGTGGACTCTGAGATGATATCGTTAATGCCGCGCGAGTGCTGCGTGGGTGCTCCGCCATATGCGGAGGGGGTGGCAGAGCGACTGAAGAGCTCATCATGCTCATAATTGATTGAGGGCGTCTCCGGAATGGGGAGATGTATCGAGCTGGTTGCAGTTGAGGGCGAGAGAATGGACTGAGTGGACAAGGGAAATGAGTTCTGGCGTGAGAGATTGCCCATGTCGGGCGACGTTGGCAACGTCGATGGACGTCGACTGCTTGGTCGATAATCGGACAACGTTCCGATGGGTTCTAGAGCACTAGGCCGGCGACTGTACGCCACTGGAGACTGCGTTCGGGGCTGTTGCAAGAAGACCGGCGACGGAGACATCTGCTCACGCAATTTCGCACGCTCATCCTCGAGCTTCTGTGTCCATGTGGCATCGATCACTTTCTGCTGCTCCGCAAAATCTTTATGAGCTAAGCCCAGATCCTCAGTGGCTTTTTTGAGTTTCTGTTCCAGCTTTTTGATCTCTTCAGTTGCCTCCTCGAATTTACTCTCAAGATCGTGCTCAGTCTCTTTCGCGGTCTCGAGCTCTTCTTCGATTCGTTTTGCTTTCAAATTCTGCGCATGTAGAGTTAGCCTAGCAGTCACCGAATAATGTCTTTATATGTATTATGCTTACCATCTCACGGATCTTCCGTCGCATCTCGCTCTCGCGCCGTGCGGCTTCATCCCGCTCCTTTTCAACATTCGCCAACCGAGCAAGCAACGAACCCTCTAATGTCTGCCAATTCTCGCTAGCTACGGCGTACTGAGTCTGAAGGGTCTCGATCTGACGGAGCAATTTGACCTGAGTATCGCCAGCCACTCCAGTCGAAGCTTCTTCGGCTCGAAAGCGAAGGGACTCCATCTTACTTTCGAGCATCGACTGCTCACCCTTGAGTTCTACTTCAAGCATGCGAGCGCGCTCTTTCTCCTGCTCAATGGTAGTCTGCAGATCACTTATTTCACGCCTCAGCTTCCCTTCGCTGATATCTCTTTCTATTTTGACGCTAGAAAGGTCCTCCTCCAACTGAGAGGCGCGGCGCTTTTCCTGTTCAAGTGCCTCGGACTGTGCCTTAGCTTCAACTGCTTCCGCTCGAGCGAGGGCTCGTGCAAGCTGTCCCTTCATTTCCTGTACAGTTTGACTCAGAGCGTTCCGTTCTGCAGTCACCGCTTCGAGATCTTGTGATGTCTTGGTCTGTGTCGAGAGAGAATCATTGGCTCTCTTCTCGGCGGCTTCTGCTCGTTTGGCTCGAGTTTCTGCGCTAGCAAGATCTCGCTCGAGTTTTTCTGTCTTTTTCTTAACTTCAGTTTGCGCTTTCGCATTCTCCATCAACTGCTGCCTCAGCTTCTTGATAGCCGTTCGATGATCCATTTCCGTCTTGGACAGCTTTTGACCTTCTTCGAGAAGAAGGGCTATCTTTTCGTCCTTTTCCCTTAGCTGTCTTTCTACGCTGCCAGGTTCCGCTGCTGTCGCGGCCTGCTTGGCGGATTCAGCAGCCTCTTTCGCAAGGTATTTGAGCTTCGACTGCAGTGCATCGATCCGCTCGATGTAGCCGTATACCTCTTCTTGCCGTTGAGATTCAGCGATTTTGTCCTCGGGTTGCATATCGCCGACAGTTTTCCCCTGACCGTTCGATAAATCATTGCTAGTCTCCTCAGCAGGCTCCGTCGGAGAAAGCGATGTTGTAGGCGCAGAGAGTCTCGATTCGTCTGCAGACGGTTGTGCCTCCTCAAGGGTAGGGTCCTGGGCGACATGATCACCATTCTCCGTAAGCGCATGCGGAGGCAATGCGCTTTCAGTTGATAGCCTGCTAATGTCGTTTGACCCTCGTGGGAGGCCCGAATCGTAGCTGTCACGCGACTCCGCTGCAACCGAGGCATCCTCAACCCGACTCGAGCTTCGCGAGTGCCTCCCTGGATCCACAGCTGGTGATCCGAGGCTGGAATCGATGTCCATGCTAGATCGGGCGCCGTTGCTGGGGACCGGACTAGTAACGGGTGATGAGTTCCGACTGGAGCTTTGCGTGGCGAGAGGACCCGGCGAGTTCTTCACCATTGCTCGAGCTAGGCGCTCTTGAAGCCGGTCATTCTTTCGAGCATTGGATGAGCTGCGGGAAAGGTCTGGTCGCAATTAGCAATCCGATGGATCTACAAAGGACAGAATGGACCATACTTCCGGTTTGCTCCGCCGGCTTCGGTTTTGTAGCAATATTCTTCGCTTGTACTTGTTTCTGATCCTCCTCCTCCGCTAATATCTGGTCGAGTCTCGATTCCACACCCGCGACAGCCTGTTGTAAAAAAGACCCGACCTTCCACTTGGGCTTGTTGCCTTGTGTATTCTGCGCCATGGTGACGACCTAAGTGCTTTGTTGCAATTTCCGCCGTGGGTTTATTCCATGTGCGAATGGCGCAATCGCCTAGTGATAAGTTCAGCAGCGATACAATCGTATGTCAGGGACAGTCGCGGGTTCAAGAGGTCGGTGCGATATGCTTGTTGGTTGTTGCCGCCGAGTGGGGAAGGCAAGGCTGAAAGGAAATGAACGTGGGACTTCCAGGACGAACGGCACGTCGAAGAGTCAATTAGAGCAGAAAGAACGTGGCGATGCAAGAGAGCCGACAAGAAAATGCTGTCCCTGGGCGGGAAGCCAGATGGCAGCCTGGGATGGTGCAGCTTGCGTGGACGGAGAAGTTGCAGCGCAACCGGCCGGGCTTGGCGATCGATGGAATGGATGAGCGTTTAATCAATCAATCCCACATCATCATTCGGACGGGCCCGAACCACCGCAGTCTGTCCTCCTCCACTCACCTCTCCATCTTTCCTTCTCCCACCCCCTCCTTCATTGTCCCTCCCCCCCCACTCCTCTTGCCTCGCTTTTTTACTCCCTTCCGATTGTTGCTATTTTCTTTCCAGCCGGATTCCTGCCCCTCTGTTCCCAGGATCCATCATGTCGTCGTTGCCCCTGGAGCCGCCTACGTATCTCAGCTCGTTGCAGAACAACATCCGAGCTCGCCCTATCCCTTGGGAGGGAGCTGTTCGAGCTGGCAACATCACCGATGAACACCTGAAGAAGATCAAGGCGGTTGATAAGGTTCGCAAGGAGCAACGGCGTCAAACAGTTGAGGGCGATCTAGCTGGGTATGTTAGTCTGCTGGCAGGCGGGCCCGAGAGCAAGAGTGTGCTGGACTCCGCCGCCAGACGAACCGACATCGTGCAATGCATCCTCGTGCTGGCCGCGGATTTGATCAACGGTGGGTCTCTATCTGGCCTCCAGCTATCGTGAAACATGGTTGTTAATGGTTATCAGATGTTCCCTCCCTCGCAACGGCTCTGGTTGCCCACCCCAATCCTTACAAGTCATTCCTTCCCCTCTTGCGTCATTCGACCAACGCTGAAGACCCGATTCCTCTCCTCACTTCCACCTTTTTGACAAACCTGGTATCGGTCAGCCTGTTCTCCTCTTCGAAGCCAGCGCCGCGGGATGATGAGGCGCTTCCGCAGTTGTATACCTATCTCTCCACTCTGACCCAGAACCAAGACAGCGGGCTGCAGGATATCGGGGTCCAGGAGTTGTCCGCACTTCTTCGCACTGCCAGAGCGCGGGAACTTTTTTGGCAGCAACAGAAACAGACTGTCGATCCTCTCGTCGATATTCTGCGAGCCGCGACGGGCGCTAAAGACAGCAGCTCAAGCACCCTGGCGGGCAGTGCGCGCGGGATCGAGCCTGGTCTTGCAGGTGGCATCGGACTCCAGCTCCTCTATAGAGTATTGTTGGTGCTATGGCAGCTAAGTTTTGAGGGTAGTTTGGTCGGAGAAGATCTGCAAAAGTACGTGATGTGCGCGTAGTCCGTGCGAGCGGTGAAGCTAATATGTACGCCTTCTAGTGACTACGAATTCGTTCAGCTCTACACAAATCTCCTCCGCCTGTCTCCGAAAGAAAAGACGACCCGGCTACTCCTCGCCACGCTCAATAATCTCCTATCCAGTAACCGCACGACTCTTCTTCCAGTGGCCGTCTTTGTTCGCCTGCCCGCCCTGCTGACGAACCTCTCGGGTCGCCACTTGACCGATGAAGACTTGCTGGAGGACCTTCAGGCTTTGAAGGAGCTTCTGGATGAATACACCAAGACGCAGACGACGTTTGACCAGTACGCCGCTGAACTGCAGTCAGGCCACCTGCGGTGGTCGCCTCCGCACCGGAACCCCGCGTTCTGGAAGGATAACGCACGGCGCATCTTGGACGACAACAATGGCGCATTGCCCAAGAAACTCGCAGAGATTCTTTCCAAGAACTGGGACAACGATAAGCAGGTGCTGGCGATTGGATGCAATGATGTGGGACATCTGGTCAAAGAGCTTCCTGAACGGCGGGCACAGTTGGAGAAATTGGGCTTGAAGACGCGGGTGATGGAATTGATGGCAGACAAGGACGAAGCTGTCAGGTGGGAGAGCTTGCGAGCTGTTGGAGAGTGGCTTCGTTATACTTTTGACGACTAATTTGGGACGAAGCCCGTTCCAACTTCGCGCTATCCTTGGTCTTGTTTGTCACGTCGCTATCGTCTGTATGTATTTGGGGTCTAGACGAGCCATGCTGGGGCTGCATTTGTATGAAATATTTGTAAATGTTGCACTGTACTTTTCAGCGTAATTTGTCTGCTTGAAGTTGAATTTAACGTGCGCTCCTACCTGATGTTTCATGGTGGATACTGCCCACTCTGCCTAGACTCTCGAACCTGTTCTCCATACTTTCGTTGCATCACCCGCAGATTCGGGGATTGGAGCGGAGGAAGCCGCCCACCGCCCGCCGCCCACCGCTCCTTATCGATCATCCGTCAACAAATTGTCGGGAATTGCTGCTTATCGCCGCCACCGGCAGGCCGTGGAGGGGGCGAGTGGAAGAGTGGGCGACTGCCCTCGTGCTCGCACGGCAACTTTAGCTTCTCCGAATTTGTCTTTGATGCTCCCACTCGATTATTCCTGCATCTGTTCTCGTTGTCTTGTCTCACCCCCACTGCCCCTCATCCGCTGTGGACTGTGGAATCCGGTCGATCTGATTCTGGACCCTACTCTCCCCTCTTCCCCCTTGGGGTAGCCGAACAGTCATCTGCGGAGAAAAAAAAGAAAGATCCCCGCCGAGGTCTACCATACCAGGATTCCCAGGAACGAACCCGCTTTATCCTCCCGAAAGCAGCCGATAAACAAATAAAACCACCAACACACATGTCGCGCTCCTTCACTGGGTGCAAGCGATGTAAAGGCCGTCGGCAGAAGTGTGACGAGCAGCGACCAAGCTGTGGCCGATGCCAGCAAGCGAACACGCCTTGTCGATATGCAATGCAGCTGCAGTGGGGTGGGCGGGCTTTCTCGCGCTCACGATTCGGGGCCTGCGTGGGTAATGGAGGCATGCATAAACTGGGTCCGTACGATTTCTACGGAGTACTCTACTTTGCTTTACTCTAGTGTGTCGGTCGCTAACAACGCGCCTGTATCTAATCAGAGTATTCCCCCGGCGAATTTATCTATACCACAAACTCATCCTCTACGGCACTATCTCCCGGCTCGATAATCGCTGGTACCCCATCTACGACGACCGCTGCAACTAGTCTAAACTACTACATTGATCCGTTCGCCTCCCTCTCGACGGATCAAAAGTCCCTTCTTCACCACTTTCTCAGTGATGCCTCGCAGATCACTGCCTGTCATTCCGGCATGCAACAGGACATTTGCAAGATGCTGGTCCCCATGGCCCTACAGACCCCGTCCCTCCTATACGCAACCATGGCCCTCTCTGCCATCCACCTACAAGCCCTCCACAACCAGTCTGAAAATGTCAAGTCGGCTCCGGAAATCGCGCGCTTCATGGCACTCAGCCTGGAACATTTTCGCAAGGAACTGGAGAACCCTGCCAGCAGAGGGTCCGATGCCCTGCTCGCTACAGCGCGCACTCTCTGCTTAGCTGAAATCCATTCGGGCGCCATTCATCCAAATTCGTGGCGCGCACACATCGCGGGAGCGAAAGCTCTCATGGATTCTTCGAATCAGCGCGGGATCCTGTCACCGGGATCGCCCGAGGGCTTCCGTCGGTATCTAGACCGCTGGCACCGCTCGATTGTCTCGCTGACAGCGTTGACTGGAAACGGGCCGCCAATTGGGGTGGAAGCAACCCTCGCGGACAACACAACCGATTCCGTAACCCCTGATTATCTGGATGACTACTGGGGCTTCACTGTCAACCTGGCCGCGATCTTCCGGGCGATTGGCGCGGTATCCTGGCGGGAGCATCAACACATCTTACAGCAGCAACAAGAACCACGGCAGGAAGCCGCATTAGGAGATACCATTGTCGACATCGACGTCGCTCACGAAGCAGCTGCGCTTGAAGGCGCCCTCCGTCGGCTAATGGCCGCCGAAGAAGTTGGAACTCAACCGACCTTCTACCCGGGTGTCACGGAGGGACTGTCGCCGGACTGTATCCGGCAGCTGATGCTCTGCAATGAGGCCTTCCAGCGCAGTGCGCTCATTCAGATCCACCGCCGCTTGTACAAGACGCCCGCATCGGCACCGGTGGTGCAGGACTCAGTCAAGCGGATCCTGGAATGTACGGCACAGATCGGGCCGTCCCCGGGTCTGAGTCCATGGGTGCTGCTCACAACACCGTTGTTCATTGCGGGATGCGAGGCGCGCGGGGCGGATCGCCAACAGGTCCGCCAGCTACTAGCATCACTGCATGATACTATCCGGGTGCCAAATGTTTTGCAGTCGTTGAGATTGTTGGAGCAATATTGGGGTAACCAGCTGGATGAGAATGAGGGGTGGTCTCAGTTCTTGGGTATGTTTTCTCCCCCTTAGAAGAAGTTGTTCGCTGACCTAAAGAGTAGATCGTATGAGGATTGACTTCATCCCATATTAGATGAGGCAGCGGGAATTCATTCGCGTGGAGATCGGCTCCACCGCGAGCTTTTATGTGGTATGATTGATGTATATATTAAGGATTGACAATGTCTCCTGGAAGGCATTGGGGTATCCTGCTTGTGCTATTTTAGCGACGAGTTGATGGCGTTATTTCCTTCTGCTTCTGTTCTGGTGTCACATTATGCATTTACTTAGTGTATAGCGAGGTCTGATGGTTTTACACACAAAGACGGGGATGAGAAAGGGAAACCCAAGTTTACCGTTGAATAAAGGGATCCCGGATCTAGACCTGAGATAGGAAGCCAGCCAGGCATTTCAGGGGGGGAAGAGAGTCAAGGGCACCGCATATTTCTTTGTGTCACCGGCTTTTCCTCCCTAGCCCTACTCCCTTCTTCTGCGAACATATGACCCTAGGAACAGCAAGACAAGAATCCTTTCTTCTTGGTAGTGTTAACCTATAGAGGTCCGGAGCTCGTACCTGCATACTCTCCCATCCTGTCCGTGGTGCTTATGCCCTTTCTTTCGAGGTCCAAACCTTTATCTCCCCCCCCCCCCCCCCCCAAAGCACAGACACATACAAACAATTAGTACGTAGTTCAAATTGTGTTTCATACTTACCCATGATAGCTACGCTACGTACTTGATTCTGGTTCTATACTTAGCAACCTTGTTCCCTGTTCTGCGGTGCGGCACGGAATACAGTAGGCTACTATAGCCTCTAACAAATATTACCCCCTAGCCGCCCACGTTAGAACCGGACACAGTCATCCCAGGACCCTATCTGCATCATGCCTAAGCGGTGACTGTAGTAGCTTCCTTGGTACTCCGTAAGTAGAGGTCTCCTCCGGCGGCTAACTAATACCAACTAGACTCCCTTGCCGCAGGGGTGCCAATGCTAATGCCAGCCCCCGTCTCAGGATTGGGGAACCGCGCGCGTGCGTGCGTTAGGTTACGTGCATACATGAATGTCCTGCAGCCACAGGCGATAGTCTAGTTGATTTGATGGAACGTTGGTGGCTAAGAATAGTTTGCTGGGTTGGGTTGGGTTGGCTGGGATGGGGATTGGGGATTGGCGGAGGTAGAGGTTGGTTGGTAGGTGGTGGTTTCAAGTGTACGGTAAGTGTCTATAGATGGACTTAATACTGAGTACCCCGTAGTAAGTGGGCTGTTGTTTGTTGATGTTTATTAGTGGGGAGGAATTGTCTTGCCAACTTCAATACGAAACTTGTTAGCCGCCGTTTGACTTGGGGCTGTATGTGAAGGGCAGGCAGGGTTTGGGTCCATGGCTCATCCTTTGGGGGCGCTTACTAGTCACTATAGTAGTTTCTATGGTCTTGTTGGTAACTTCGAGCTACTACTATATGCGGTTGTGGTAGGGGCAGGGGTCATGGCGTTTCCGTTTTGTTATTTGTGTCTTACGTATGAATAAATGAATAGATTGTCGATAGCTACAGAGTATAGCGCTGGAGGCGAGCTAGTTGAGCTACTTTCTCCGTACCAAGTTGCGTATACATCCTCTATTCCACCGTAAGTGGAACCCTGCATGGATATCAACTCCCGAGCCGAGATGGGTACCTAGAGTCCTGTCCACTGTCCCCAGGGCCGATCATTCAAAAGTTCCCAAAAAGACATGCAGCAACTTTACTTGGCCCATCGACAAGCGAGTGCACAGATTCAGCAAGGATAGTCATGATCAGACTTCTGGGACGGTTGTGAATCCTTGGTCCGAGTGCAGGCGACTGTTGGTAACGGACCACTAGTCGGCGTTAGTTGCTTTAGGGGAGAAGGGGGGGGGAGGGGGGGCTGGTCTGTTCTCTCCTTTTTTTTTTCCCGCCCTGCTAAGCTGACTCAGGCCAACTGCTTGGCTTGTTTGGTTTTTTTGGTTCTTGACAATGGTGATACAATGGTGTGCATAACGGTTGGCATGAATGTGCTTTTTATAGATATGCGTTTTCTCTGGAACAAGGTTGGGACCTTTTGGTGGTACTAATTGTCCGACTACCAAAGTGGTGGCAGGTGGAAATGAATTAACGTTACGTTACTAGGAATGAAGCAGCAAGCAAGACGGGACAGACAGCCGGATAACCCCTGACTTGCCGCCCGAGAGCTGGTGGGGCCGATCGGCCACCCGGCTGGGCCTCCGGCTATCTTCAAGACTGGCACATATTTGGTGCAAGACAATATACTCTGTACAAGGTGGTTGAGGGGAAGGGGATGGGGATGATGATGATGGGTGTAATGGTGGTAGGATTGTACAAGAGACAAGTGAGAAGTGAAGAGAAATGATCTCATCAGCATAAACTAGAGTGCTCTGAGCTTCTCAATGGAAACTATTGTTCTCCAGTCAGTATCCAGTCTGTGTCAATCAACCAACAATCATTGTATAGATCCCACGGCCAAGTGGATCCCAGCTTTGCCTCTTTCTGCATCTCGCTGGCTCTCCTTTTTCCCGCGCGCTTCTGGCCTTTCCTCTCTCTCTGCCAATCTCATCCCCTTTTCCTTTACGTTTCTCTCTTTTTAGTTGATTTTAGTTGATTTTCGGATTAACTCGAATTAATTATTGCATTTTCCCTTTTCAAGCTTTCCTCCAGATTTTCCGTCTTTTCTCCCCCCAATTTCTTTCCAATCAATGGATCCCCTCCTATTCTTTCCAACTCCAAAGTCTCAGTCTCAGTCTCAGTCCTAGTCCTGGTCCTGGTCTCACACGCAGCAGCCTTTCCATTCCTGAGCCCAAACCCAAACTTTCCCGTCAGCCATGAGGCCTGCGTCGATCCTCAGCTGATTGTCTTTGATCTGCTTTGTTCCTGTTCGTGTCACTTGTCTTCTACTCATCCAATTAGAGTGCAATGGCCCCCGGCTGGACTTCTCCGCCTCCTGCCTCGGGCGGTTTCCTCCCCTCGAGTCCTCCCCAATCGAACCATAACCAGAGCCATGATGACCATGACCATCCCGATGCGACTACAATCACCGCCGCTACTGCCGCTTCACCTCCTCCTTCTCCTCCGCCGCCGCCGCCGCCGCCGCCTCTTACCACCACTACCACGCATCAGGACGCCAATAATATCTCTACTACTACTATCTCCTATCACCCAGGGAGTCTTGACCCCAACCCCGGTCCGGGGCCAAGTCTCCCTAACTCGCCCATGTCCACTACCTCCACCTCCTCTTCCGCCTACCTTCCTCCCGACTTTCCTCCTTCGTCTATTGTCCCTATCCCCCTCCCCCCCTCCTCTCCCACCTTAGCATCTGCATCTCATACCCAAACTCCTTCCCTCTCCTCTCCCTTCACCGTGCGCAGGAAGCCGCTTCCCCAGGATGCTGTGAACCCCTCGCACGCAGCTAGGCCTTTCTCCTCCTCTTCGTCCCTACTTGCGTCTCCCCGGGGCAACTCGCCTGCGCATCCGGATTCTCACCCGGCCTCCCCTCTGGCTGTCGGCCAGACGCTGGCCTTGTCTCCGGTTTCATCGCCGTCGTTTCTGGATTACGTATATGACCGCCAGGACGACGAAGACGAGGACGAAGACGATATATATCAACACACGCCTGAATCATATCCTGAATATACTCACGAACCACCACAGCAACTACACCACCCCGTCTCTCCTCCTAGGGACCTGGATAGGTATGGTAGTCCGTCGCATCCCTTCTCCCTGTGAAGCTCTCCCTTAAGGACTCTTGCCCCTTGGCTGGTACACTCGCTCCGCCTTGCGCGCCTTTCGCAGCTTTCGGGAAGGGTTCTTATGTCCAACTCTCCCCGCGCACGTTCCAGGACTAACCCCGTGCTCTTCTTTGTCTGCTCCAGATTCCCGCGTGGTAGTCCGTCCTCGTCCCATCTCCGCATAGACACGACTTCGTCCATAGGGAGCCCGGTCAACGACAGCGACGACGAGACCCCCGTTTACGATATTGCGTACTCCACGCGATTCACGAATGCGACTCGGATACATAACCGGCTTGTCAGTGAATCCTTCGTCCACAAACGTATATCCCCGGCTATAAACCCGAAGCGCGCTACCACCATGGCTCTGCACCTGCCAACGAACGGCCCAGCCCCGCTACAGATCGACCCTCCCCGCCGCACCGGCACCTCGTCAACTATAGGGGATAGCAAACAACCCAAGACACCCGGCAACAAGATCAGCTCTTTCTTTGGGTGGCGGGCAGGCAATTCCTCACCTGGCGCCGAATCTTCGAGCACAGAAATCTCCGAGTCCGGCCGATCCCCAATACCGTCACCCATGCCGCCCTCACTGCCCAGCGCGTCCTTCTCCAGAACACCATCCACAACGGTCCCGTTCGACCCTACTCGCCCGCATACGTCTCTCCCGCATCGCAATTCGTCGCTCAGCAGCGCCAGTATTCTGGAGAAGTCTGGAGCCCCAGCCCTGGTGGCGGAGCTCGAGAATGAGTTGCGGGAGATCAGCTCAGAGCTTGCGGGTTCGATCCGCCGGGAGATGGAGTTAGAGGACCTGGTCGAGCGACTGCAGTCGGACTCGGTTTTCGACACCCCTAACCGCCGGACCAGCGATTACTTCTCCGACTCCGGCAGTAGCTCTATCCGTTATGCATACGAGTCTGGTGGTCGAGTGGAGGATATTGAGAAATACAAGCGTACTGCAGAGCAGGAACGGGCCCAGATAAAGGTAGAGCTATCTCAGAAACTGCAGGAAGAGCGCGGTCGACGTGCGGCCTCCGAGGCCCACGTTCAGATTTTGGAATCGCAAGTGCACCAGGTATGAATGCTTCAGGCCTCTGCTTCCGCTAGCGCTAACGCATCGTTCAAGCTGCGACGGGAGAGAGTCGATCTCTCTGATATGTCCTCCCGTACCAAAGAGCTGGAGACAGCTTTGGAAGCTACTCGTCGGAAATTGGCTGAAGAGCGCCAGATCAAAGACAACTTCGAAGATCTACTCACTGCCATGCGTGTCGAGCTCGAGCAGCTCCGAAATGAGCGGGACCATCTGAAGGAGAACGTAATACCTCAGTTACAAAGCAGTGCTAGCAACTCTCACCAGCAATTGCCGGATCCTTCCGAGGTGGCGCGGTTGATGGGCGAGATTGAGGCACTGAAGATAGAGAACGCCTCCCTAGCACAACTGCAAGGGAGCCGGTTTGCTTCCATCGCTGAGGAAGATACCATGTCTCCGGCACGAGGTACGGGACTTGGTCTCTCTCGTTCGAACTCATTGGCACGGGTGCGCTCAAAGCCAAGCGCCCCCACTGGCCTATCCCGGTCCAACTCTTTGTCTCGATCGAACTCTATTAATGTCAAGGAACGGAGCGAGCCGCGAGAGAATCTGGCCGACAGGATTGAAGACGTTGAGGCCCAACGGGATGCCCTTCACGAAGCTCTTCGGCGCTTGCTCGAGCGCCAGGCTTACGATTCTCGCGAGTACGAGAAACAGCTAAAGATGATGGAGCTCGAGCTGGCTCGTGCGCAGATGGCGGAGTCTCCGCGCAAGATCGGCTACGAACGCGAGGTACGGAACCTCCGAGAGGAGGTCAACTTGCTCCGCCACCGTGCAGAAGAAGCCATGGAGCAGAAATGGCAGTGTGAAAAGGGACTCGCAGGTCTGAAGATGGATCTGGACCGCGCCGAGCAGGAGACCACTTCTTTGCGAGTCCTGCTGCAGGAGCATGACATCACGGTTCCGGAAGACTATGATACCGACCGGGACGGGTTTGCTGAAGTCTTGGTCACTTCTTCCTCCCTGGAGACTGCCTACAAGCAGCTGCAGGCTGACAGGGATCAGGCTGAAGCCAATGTCGCGCAGTCTCCCATGCTGGCGGAATCGGTCACTCGGACCGACAGCTTAGCGGAACATGTGAAGCAACAACTTGCAAACAACATTGCTCTGCGTGCCCGCTTAGCCGAGGCGATTGGTAAGGGCGAGAAAGAGCAGCAGCTGTCGGCTACGCGCATTAATGAGATGCAGAGGCGGCTCAAGGAGATGGAGGATATCCTTCTCATGGCACAGCAGTTCTCCGAGGACGAAATGGCGCGTCATGAGGAAGAAGTCCGCAATCTGCAGGAGAGTCACAGTCTTCAATTGACGCGTGTCAAGAATGGTGCGCGCAGCCCAATGGCTCTGTCTCCGAAGCCGCCGAACACCCCATTCGGCGCGCGTTCACCGCGGTTGGACAAGACGACCAGTGGGGACGGAATGGCACTGAACGAGGCGGTTCAGTTCGAGACGCTTGCGAAGCGGGTCAAGGAATTGGAGAAGTTGCTCCGGGACGCCGACTCGGAGATGGAAGAGGTGGTCAGTCGGATGAACCGTGCGCAGATTGAAGTCGCCGAACTGCAGTCCGATCGGTGAGTTTTACCCTTTCTCTTATTTCCGACCGTGATAAACGACCTTTCAACTAACCCTTCCCAGGGATGAGGCCCTACGCCAAACCAGAAAGCTCCAGGCCGAGATTCTGGCTGAACGCGAGGCATTAAAGACCCTGATTGTTTCTTAAGAAGTAAATAGTGGATGCGGATGCTGTGCATCTGCCCCGCTTGTACATGGTTGGAAGATCCTCGCCAGAGGCGCATGTATATAAATGACCATCATCAGTGATCTAGATGTATAATATCATAGACTAATATCGCATTTTCAGTTTCTCTGTGATCTTTCAAGGGATGATGACTGGGCCAAAATGCCCTTCCACGAGGGCTATATACCGCGATACCATCACCGCCTTCGCAAACGGAATTAACCGGCAGAATTGATAAGGCGGCGTGGAATGCTTGGATCTTAACAAGCTATGTGAGTTGGTGATAGTGATGCTGTCAGAGGCTGACAAGGACTCTCTGGGGTGTTCTATTGAGACGACCGGAAAAAGTCTGAACCCAAGACATAGTTAGGCTAGATGAACCTTGTCCAGCATCATTGTCTGAACCAACCCAGACGAATCCTCTATTTTAGGCAGGCGGTGATCATAGGAGAGGACAATCCGAGCCAGCGTGAAACAACAACAACAAAAGGAACTTATCGCCAGATCTGTTTGTCTGGTTTGTTCTCATTATTTGTCCCCCGCAACCATCCTTTATCACCACCAACCCCCCGGTCTCTTTCAGATCGCAGTGCATGCCAGACCTCACGATCATGACTATATAAAGATCACGACGTCTACGCATTGTCCTTGGCTGTCTCACTCAAACTCACCTTACCCGGATCGTATTCACGCACCGCCTCGACCCCAACAACTCCGTCAACAGCCGGACAACCAGAGCAGAACAGGCAAAAGCAAAAGCAGAAGCAGAAGCGCAAGGATGGAATACCTTCCAGGTGAGTCGCAGTCCAAGAAGCACAGCAGCAGCCGACCGTCCGGGTCCCCCTCGCGACGGAACGCCATCACCCCCCCGGCACCAGTGCCAGCCCCATTCCCCGGTACCGGCAGTGGTGGTGGTTTCTCTCGAGCACGGGGGGACGACGACGGCCCCGGCGGCATCAGCTACATCCAAGTCTTCCCAGACCTGACCCCCGCCCAAACCAACCCCTTCACCACCACCACCACCATCATCAACCCGCATCAAGCCCAGCCGCAGCCGCAGCAGCAGGACTCGAGCTTCGACCCGCCGCCAGAACTGCTCACTCCGCCCGCGGGCCCAGCCCCGCCCTCGCCATCTTTTGATGACCACTATGACTATGAGTATACTGACCCCGTCGTGGTGCCAGACTCAATCACGCAACACCTAACCACCACCTCCTTCTCGGCCCTCACCACCCACCTCAACACATCCTACCTGACCCCGGCGCTCGCGCATGTCCGCTCCGCCTACATCGACCCCTACCTCGTGCGCCCGGCCGCCAGCTACCTCGCTTCTTCGGGCGGCGCCATGCCCGACCTCATCTCCGTCGCCCTCCTTCTGGTAATCCTGTTCCTTTCGCTCAAGGTGCTCGACTACGCACGCCGCGTCGTCATGTTCTGGGTCGGCCTCGCGTGGTGGCTGCTCTGGTGGGCCACCGTCATCGGCGTCGGCGTCTGGCTGTATACCAGCGGCGTCGAGCATGCGGCTCGCGATGTCGGGTGGTTGGTTGGCCTTGCGCGGGGATTTCTGGGTAGGGTGTTTGAGGATATGGAGCGTGCGGGACGGCAGCAGCAGCAGCAGCAACAGGGGGGACGGGTTTTTGGGGGGAATAATGCTGGATTTGGCGCGGGTGCTAGGGGTCAGCAGGTTCCTCTGGGGAGGTATTGACCCTCCCGAGAATCCCGCTCTCTGTTCTGTTGGTGCCCTTGGTATGTTGGTAAAGTTGGGCGTTGGCCGTGAAGTGAAGTCAAGTGAGCCAGCCAGTGTATGCTGTGGTTATTTATAGTATACTATGTGCGTGTGGCTTGCGCTTCGTGCTGGATTTTGCCTTGCTTAGGATAGATTTCTTTGAATCATTATTTTATTTTCTATTTTGCTATTATGTGTGGTTTGTGTAAGTTGTAATTATGATGTAGGATGGATGTATATGTAGATTGTTGTGTTGAGTCCTGTTTATTTACATTCGTAAACATGGCATGGCTAGTTGGCTTTGTCGCCTGTGATAGCTAGGTGATAGACCCAAGCTCTGATGCTGTCATTCCACATGTCCCGATATCGGACAGAATGCTTGACCGTCGCTGTTGACTGTCTGGCTCTGTAGATCCTCTCTCTGGCTTCTCTTATCTGGCCGTATTCCAGCTGCTGAATTTCTCCAGGCACATTACATGCAGCTTGCGTGGAAGAAGCGGTGGGAGTGACATTCCTTTCGCAAACGAGGCTTCCAAGGCCACCACGATCCGGCAAACGAGACTCGCGATAAGTGTGGGGGACGTCCAATTGACATCCTGCGATAACGAATGTCGGTAAAACCCACTGTAATTTGACGACGACCGGGTTGATGTGTTGTTGATCTCGGCTTGCTCTTCATTCCTCAGTCAGTCCCCTGCCGCTCGCACACCACACCCCCTTTTGTCAACCGGGCCTCCGCCCACCCCCTCACATATCGCCATCCTCGTAGTCGACCTCCTGGGCATCATTGGGCTCGCGCGGCTCCTGCGCTTCGTGGTACTGGATGGCATCGTCAATGTGGCTCAACACGGCGGCGACGCTGTCCTCATCCTGCACGTCAAGCTTCAAGAAGGAGACCATGCTGAAGTCATCAATGAGCTGGCCGACAGCGCGATTGAGCTGGTTGAACGCGCCGCCGCTAAGCAAATTCTCCTTGGCCGCGGGATCCCCGTGAACAACCTCACCCACCCCCCCGGCTTCCTCCTCCTCACGGTCCACATCCGCCTGCAGCAGCTGGACATCGACGTTGGTGAAGCGCTTGAGCTCCTTGCGCGAGATCATGTCCTTGACCTGGTCCATCTTGGTCAGGATGTTCACGTGCGGCATCTCCAGCATCAGCATGGCGGACATGGCGCTCAGCGTGCCGGCGAAGAACTTGGCCTTGTCGACCACGAACGTGCTCTCCAGGAGGTAGGCGGCGCACAGGCTGATGTTCAGCGGGCCGGCGCGCGACAGAAACTGCACCAGCGACGGCAGCAGCGGGATGTGCGTGTACAGCTCGATCTGGCCCGGCATGTCGAAGATGATCAGGTACTCCTCGCTCAGCGGGTCCAGCGCCTCCGTCAGAAAGTCCAGGTTTTGCAGCAGGAACTCGAAGCAATAGATCAGCCCGCCGTTGGGGCCCAGCCCCAGCTCCTCCATCACGTCCTCCAGCGTGATCAGCTCCCGGATGTCCAAGTCCGGCTCGTAGCTGAACGTTTCCGCCGCCGGGTCCAGGTTCACGTAGAAGCAGCTTCGCCGCGTGTTCTGGAGCTGTTGGATCACTGCGCTGCAGAAGGTCGTCTTGCCCGCCCCCGCGGGGCCCATCACGAGGACGCCGAACTTGGACATGGCTGGGGAGGGGGGATTATTTTTTTAAATGGGGGGGGCAAAAGGAATAGAAAAATAGATAAGAGAAATATCCCAAAAAGGAAACCTGCGAAATGGCAATCTCCGATGTGGGAAAAGTCGGAGATGGACTGAGGTAGGGATGTTTCGCTCGTAAGCGCAAGCTAGTATGGCGAGTAGGAGAGAGGGAGGGGAACCGGACTAGAAAGAAAATGGCCCGAAAGTTGAGTAGGTAAGGTTGAGTTGGCAAACGCAACTTGGTTAGCAAGCCAACAACCAGCCCCCACGAGTGTGAACTTGGATTAGCTGGGAACTCGGAGAAAAGTAGTCTAACAGCCAGCGGATAAGCAGGAAGCGGACAAGCAGATGGACCGTTTACCGTAGACTCAGTTTCGAAGTGCTGTCCAGTGCAAAGAAAGTGACGCCGCGGACAGGCGATCGCAAAGGAAAACCGAAAAGTCCGGGTACTGCCAGTCCTCACCGCACGCAGGTGGACGATTCAATCTCTCCGATTGGTTCCCAGTTGCGTCCCCGGCCTTTTTTCTTGTCGGCTTTTTTTTAATTTTTTTTTTTTTTCTCTTTCCTATTGCCATCCGTCACCGCCGGAGCCAAATCGCGCCATCGGAAAGACATTAATACGGGGAGGGAGAGAGACCGGCGGGGCTTCCATTCATTTTCTCCCCCTCTCCCACTGCCGTTCCTCCCTGCCCCCCCCCTTCTTTTTATTCTTTTCATTTCTACCCCTTCCTTCCCTCCACCTCCTCGCTTACTTCTTCTCCTTTTCTTCTCTTCATCTTCTTCCCTTCCTCAATCCACCTCCTTCTCCTTCTCTCTCCTCCTTTTTGTGTCTTTATTCACATCACATATCTCCTTTCATCACAATGGGCAGCGTCGCTAACCCCAAGACCGGAACTTTCCTGTTCACCTCCGAGTCTGTCGGAGAGGGTCACCCTGATAAGATTGCGTGCGTGTCTCTCGCTCTTCTTGGCTCAGAAGAAAGCAATTCCCTTGCCAGACTCGCCTGCTAACGACCCAACAGCGATCAGGTCTCCGATGCCATCCTCGATGCCTGCCTTGCTGAGGACCCCCTCTCCAAGGTACGTGCCCCTCCATCTCGGGCCTTCGCGCATACCCCTCTCTGATTGGCTACCGCTATCTACGCGGGGTCTTTTTTTTTTTTCTTTCGTGCATCGAACCAATCACTAACGCGCATCCTCCAGGTTGCTTGCGAGACTGCCACCAAGACTGGTATGCATTGTTCTCTCTCCTTGACATGGTCATTGTTCTAACCAGTCCCCCCCAGGTATGGTCATGGTTTTCGGTGAAATCACCACTCAGGCCAAGCTCGACTACCAGAAGGTCATCCGTGGTGCCATTCAGGACATCGGCTACGATGACTCCGCCAAGGGCTTCGACTACAAGACTTGCAACGTCTTGGTTGCCATTGAGCAGCAGTCTCCCGATATCGCCCAGGGTCTCCACTACGAGGAGGCTCTTGAGAAGCTTGGTGCCGGTGACCAGGGTATCATGTTCGGTTATGCCACCGACGAGACCCCTGAGCTCCTCCCCCTCACCCTTCTCCTCTCCCACAGACTCAACAGCGCCATGAAGGAGGCCCGCAACGACGGCTCCATCCCTTGGCTCCGCCCCGACACCAAGACCCAGGTCACCATTGAGTACGCCCACGACAACGGTGCTGTCAAGCCCCTCCGTGTGGACACCATCGTCATCTCTGCCCAACACAGCGAGGACGTCACCACTGAGGAGCTCCGTGCTGTCCTCAAGGAGAAGATCATCAAGAAGGTCATCCCCGCTGAGCTCCTCGATGACCGCACCGTCTACCACCTCCAGCCCTCCGGCCGCTTCGTTATCGGTGGTCCCCAGGGTGATGCCGGTCTGACCGGTCGTAAGATCATCGTCGACACCTACGGTGGTTGGGGTGCCCACGGTGGTGGTGCCTTCTCCGGTAAGGACTACTCCAAGGTCGACCGCTCCGCTGCCTACGTTGCCCGTTGGATCGCCAAGTCCCTCGTCAACGCTGGTCTTGCCCGCCGTGCCCTCGTCCAGCTCTCCTACGCCATCGGTGTCGCTGAGCCCCTCTCTATCTTCGTTGAGACCTACGGCACCTCCGAGAAGTCCTCCGACGAGCTCGTCGAGATCATCCGCAGCAACTTCGATCTCCGCCCCGGTGTCATTGTCAAGGAGCTCGACTTGGCCAAGCCCATCTACTTCCAGACCGCCAAGAACGGTCACTTCACCAACCAGTCCTTCTCCTGGGAGAAGCCTAAGGCTCTCAAGTACTAAGCGTGTTAAACGCTGTACCCGAGCACCTGCTTCTCTTGTGAGTATGTCTGCGTTACGAATGTGATGATTTTGCTTTGTTTTCAACAACTCAAAGCATGAGCATAGACATGTCAAAAAAAAAGCAATTGTTTCCTTTGGATTGTTTGTCCACTTTTTGCATGGTCGTCTCCACAAGAGGCGGGTTCGGCGAGGATAAATTCAACATGATACCACTTTTCATATATTGGGAGGGTTGTTACACGGCGTTTTCGGGAGCGAAAGTCTTCAACACTGTCTCCTCCAGGGTCCCGGGGACTCGATGGGACAGACCACGAGTGCCTTCGGAGTCGCGCGGTGCGTGGCTTCGGTCTGTGGTGTTGTCCGTCGGGTCTCTCGGCCTGGACGTTCGGAAGTTTCCGATAGGAGCATGGCAACGATGGCGAAGGAACGGATGTTCTTTCGATCATCATGAGCTGCTAATTTAAAATTAGCAATATAGATTAATGAAGGACAGGCTATGCCTGTGTTGTGAAGATCTGATTCCTTTGTAGTGACCGTAGGAGTAAGCCGACTTGGCCTGTGCATGGAGTCGAAACTTGAAACCATAGCAAACCACCTTCAGGTTGTCAGATACCATCAATTGTCAGAATATCAAAGCTAAGAACAAGTCTCCCCCCAAGCAATGGGCAAGTGCTGAGAATCCGAAGTTTTCGCTGATAGCCCAAACACTTGATGATTTCTGTTGGGAGAGTTTGTATTTGCAAACTGGCACGAGTGGCCCACCGTATAAGCGCAAGAGGCTCGTGCCAATCTGCAAGAACAGCCAGACCGCCCAGCAGACCGCTTTCTTAATGGGATGCCCCGCGCTCCGCCGCGCCGACGCGTGACGGCGGACGGAGCATCGCGCGTCACCGCAATACTCAAAGAGCCCTTTTTCCCTGCAACTTGCCACATTCAAATAGACCTAGACCCTTGTTACACGCCGACTGCACTAGATTACCTGGGTCATGCTCACCTGACATCGTCAAACAGAAATACACAGCATGAACTAGATCGCTCAACTACGTCGACTGAACAAAACGCCCATGGCCTCGCTCGTGTCCTCCGGCGCCCTCCAACCCATCCCTCTGAATCGAGTCCTTCGGACCCAATCCCGCCATCTCCACCACCACGGCGAAAGCAGCAGCGCACTTCCCCCGCTCAAGAAGCGCAGAACATGCTTCGACCCGACTCTTGCTTCCGGGGCCCCTGGGCCGCCGACTGATTGGATCTCGCGGCCGATTACGATCCGGGTATGTTCTTGGTTCTCGATGTGTTTCTGGTTCTATAGTTCTTTTATTCTGCCACTACTTGTACCCTCCCGCTGCTTGTGATGCTTCGCTGGTAGTGTCCTTGACTTACATTCTTGATTAATCACGACGCATACTACTACACTACACTACACTATATGATACTATATTTACGGTCAATGGAAAAGCTAATTCATGAATCTAGGCACCCACCACCTCCCTCTTCAAGGAACCATTGGTCCTCGCGCCAATTGCCCTGATCCCACGCTCTCGCATCCCATTCGCCTGGTTGGAGTACGCACCGCCCAGCGCTACCTCTGCATCGGCTTTGACGGCATCGTCGTCGTCGCAGGTCCAATCGGGTTGTCTTGTCGTCGCGCATATCCCGGTCCTCGAATACTATGACGGCGGGGCTGCTCGGACGGGTCGGGAGAAGATGGTGCTCGCTGCTAGGATGGCGCCCGGTGGAGGGCTGGTGGTTGTCGAGCGGGTGAAAAGGGGGATCTTTGCGTTGTTGAGGGTCGCCGAGGCGGTTGGGGAGGGGGAGTTGGTTGTTACGGGGAAGGAGGGGGTGCGTGCTGAGGTTGGGGAGGGGATTTATGATCAGGGGCTTGGTCGTGATGTGCAGGATTATGAGGAAGAGAACAAAGGTAAAGGTAGTATTGGGGGGGGTGAGTGGTGGGCTGCGGCGAGGATCGAGGAGCCTGATTCCCTAGGCTTGCAGCATGTGGGCAAGAGGGCCAAGGTGGAGGTTGCTGTTGTTTTTGCTGGCACGGTTGAGTGTGAGGTGCCGCCGCTACAGAAGGATACTGCTCATGGTCGGGGCTCGCAGGCTGTGACGCCTCAGATTGCGGTTGCGTTGGAGAGGAGCTCCAGTGTTGCTGGGGTGGATGCTTGTGCTGAGGCTGGTGCTGGTGCTGGCGTTGATGCTGCTCAGGCGCTGGCGCAGGAGAGTGTGGATGCGCTACGGTCCCCGCAGGACTTTCTGGATAACCTGCGGGAGCAGTATTTGCAGGCGCTTTATATCTCGAAGGTGAGTTGTCTGGTGTTTCTTCTTGAAGGTGGCTATGCTGACCGACCTTTTAGACATCTGTGGCGTACTTTGCTAAAGGTCCTCTTGCGCGCTGCCGGGCTGCGTTTCAATCGTCTGAGTCCGAAGGCAGTAGATCTCAGGATCTGATTGATTTCTACAGGGAAGCTATCCTTCTCGCTAAGAAGATGGATCTCAAGTATCGCGAGACCCTGCCTGCTATGCTTAGTGATTTGCTACTTACTTTGTCGGATGATGAAGCGGCAACCAAGAAGAAGAAACGCAAGAGCACAAAGAAGAAGCTCGGCAAGAATGGGCTGTACCCTGAAGAGACCGACTTAGTCCGCAAGTGGTGGAAGAACCGGACGCTCAGCGATCAGGGACTGTCCGCGGAAGGCCCGGCGTCGAGGGAGACGGAGTCTAAGAAGATGATTGCCGATCTACGTCTGCGCGAAACGCAATTGCAAATCCTTCTCATCTTGGAAACAATGTCTCTTGAAGCGGCTGTCGCTGAAAGTGAGCAGAACAAACAGACTGATGATGCTGAAGGCGCGACAGAGGTACCCGCCAAGAAGGAGTCGAAGAACCAAAAGCAGCAGGATCTGAATACCATGCTCGAACTTCACCTTGACCGACTGTGCATCTGGTACGCTGTCAGCTTTGAGGAGTCGGTTGTCCCTGATGCAGGTGCGACGTACGGCCAGAACCACCTCTCCGGAAAGAAGGTCGAGAGCGACGCTGTTAGGGACTTCTGCACGGAAGTGATTATTCCCTTCTATGCATCCCGCCTGCCCGATAAGTGCAAGTCCATCACCCGGAAACTGGGCGTCTCGAGTGCTGTTTCACCTTTCACGAAGCAGGCTCAGACCAAGAAGGCGCCCAAGGGCGAGCCTGGTACTCCTGTTGAACGGCAACAGGCGCAGAAGCAGTCTCGTCGTCGTACCTTCCAGCGTGTTCTTACAGATCAGATGACGTCTCAGCCTCGCCACATCCCGTCTCTGAGCCGGTCGAACACTACGCCAGCGCAGGCTGAGGCGAGACGCAATTCCTTGGATCCATTGTTACCGATCGCCGGTGCAAGCGTGCGTGGAGGGATTCAGAAGGCCAAGCGCGCTGAGAACCGCGAAGTCGACCTGAACGCCGTGACGCGTCAGCACGAGACGAAGCTCAAGAAGATGCAGATGCTGGTCGAGCAGAAGAAGGAGCTGGATGCGGCCATCAACGCTCTGCGCAAGCCCAATCGCGAACTCGTGGCCAAGGATATTGCCGATGATGCTGTTAAGCGGCATTCTACTGGCACTGTGCACAGCACCAGCACCCGGAAGCCGAAGAATCCCGTTCGCAATCCCATGGGACAAGGAGTGCAAGTCGCAGCCACACCTAAGAAGGGCAGTCGGAAGAAGGACGCTGTCGTGGGGATGCCTCCTGTCCCCACGACTTTCGTGCAGTCATCATCCATCTCTAAGCCCACGTTCTCGATATCCTCTCCCTTCAACAGTGAACCTCAGGTGATCCCTGGATCGGCTATTCGGTCTGGTTCCTTGTTCTTTGGCTCAGCCGGTCGTGGCGAGGGCAGCACGGTCCAGGAGACCCCTATTCGTCGACCAGCGCAGCCAAGAGTGGCTAATCCCACGGCATCACCTTTGTCGAGTGGTTCCGGTGCCCTCTTCAGGGTCCCGCCTCGTCAATCGGTGCCAGCAGCCCCGCACCCTGTGGACATGGCCCCCTCCACACCGGTTCAGACTCGTCGGCACGTGGACACCTTCCTTCCGCGCGTCAAGCCATCGATGGTGATGGAGACACCCCCCAAACCGGCCCTCATACCCGCTGCTCTCCCTGCTGGGATACCTATCCCGGAAGACAACCCTGTCCCCAGCCATGTTCTTTCCGTTGAAACCCCCGTCAAAGCGCCGGCAGCCGTGTTTAGCACGCCGGTGCGGAAGCCCAGTGCTGCCAAGCTGATGGTGCCGGCCACCTCAGCGGCGGTGCCGGTCACGCCGGAGAAATCAATCTATTCGGCACTGGGGTGGGATGATGATGATCTTGCAATGTAGGCGTTTGAGCTCTCTGTTTGGGTTGATTTGTACATTGGCGGTGCTTTTTCTTGTCATGCATTCAGCGGGCGTCTACTGGGCACATTCTTTTTGTTCGGGTCCCAACGTACTAGTTTATTGATATATCCAGATAGTGAAGGTATGTAGAATGGGAGAAGTTTTTTAGGGTTTCATTCAAGGCTGTACTGGTATAGTGAAATATAAGCCCTGCAGTGAATGGCTCAATGGTCTTTGTGGTTAAGTCAATGTATATTGAGCTTCTCTATATTCAATCATGGATTTATTTGTCTGCTTGTATATTAACTTCTGATTCTTCATCTTTCTTCCCCATTCCCTATGTATCTTTCTCCAATCTTCTCTTTAACTCCTCTATATATTCCCTCCTTATTCTCTATCTTTCCTCTCCCTTCCTTCTTCCTCCTTCATCCTCTCCATCCTTCATCCTCCATCCTTCTCCCTCTCCATCCTCTCCATTTTCTCTCCCACCCATCGAACCAGCGATAAGATATTCAGAATCCTTTCAACCCTCAGACTCCAGATTTTATCACACCACTTATCCAAGACTCATCAACTTGAACCCGGGGCCCAGTCTCAAGAACAACAGGCCTAGACTACTCCAAGACTCTCCCAGCGAGGAGGAAGAAACCATCGGCCCTGTGAAGTATGATAAATCTCATAATTGTGGCATAATCGTGGTCTTTCCATACATGAAGACTTTCTGACCTCCTAATATAGTCCTATTATAAAGTCTTCATCAGTCTAGATGCACTATGCCCAGACCTGGAATGTAACTTCTGCTTATCATCAACGTCGCCAGTCTCTTCCTTAGAGACGCAGGTGCCCAGCGGCTCGGGTATTTGACACATTTCCAAGATGGATCTACTTATGACCTTAAGGTGCCGCACAAGGCAATGCAGAGGACTATGACTCCATGTCGCGAAAGAACGGCGTTACCTACGCAAAGTCACTGAGGTCTAATCACCGATCCTAGATTATCCTCGATACAGTTTGCACGCACCTACCTCCCGATTTCTTCATCACCTTCCTCTCAGTTCACCCCAGTTCACTCCTATTCATTATTTTTGTCCCCTTCTATCAATCCATCCAAGATTACCGATCGCAATCATGGTGCGACATAACGACTTGAGCACCGGTAACGCATGGGTATATCTTGCGTGTAGGGCTCTGCCGACGACGATGAGATATACCTGTACCACTTCTGGTTCCTAATATGATTGAGCTCTGTTTGATGCCCAGGGCTTGGTAGCGAGGGGTGGTTTCAGGAGAAACAAAAGCGAGGAATGGATGTCCTCAAATCGTACCACGTACACCTCCAGGACGGGGTGGTCTCCAGGAGCGTGATATAAAGAGTCGACTCCTGCCCCTTGCACGGCCTGCAATTCCTGGTCAAAATCTTCCTCATCGTGCCACATCGCACAAAATTGTGGTCAGCACGCTACGGAGTTGGATGTTCTGGGAACAGGCCCACGGACCGTGGATTGAAGACCCACTGGAAGCCTTTCTGCGGGAGCTTGACAACGCTCTCTGCCTTGAGGAACAGGAGGTGAGTACCGGTTTGCAACATCTGGCTGGACAGGCAAGACCTGGACTCCTGGATGTGCTGCAGAATGCTCCATCAGACCTGCACATTGGTCAGGACACGCCTTATTAAGCTTGTGTCTGTCGAGTTAGCCTTACTTAGCAAAGGCTGGACTTTGACTGATTTGCTTAGTCAAACAGAACTTACTATACATTCAGGGATTTTGCATCGAAAAAGAGACTGGTTACCATGGAACAGTCTCCGGTAACCGTTCGAATTTATGCAAACACCGGATTGAAATCAACAAAACTGTGCCATTGGCTTCCTTGCGGAGGACAAGAGATACCCCTCACAGTAAGCTTCGACAACAACGGCTCCTCCAGATGGCAAACATCAGAATACGGTCTTGAACGCAAAGCGCCTGCAAGATGGGAATTGAAGAGTGACATCTGAGAAGTGCAGGAGATTTTACATTCTTACCGACTAGTCAAAGGCAGAAGTGAACACTATCGTATTCGATGGTATGCGGTGGGCGAAGAATATAACCGTTGATAACGGCACTCTGAAGCATTGGGACTTCATAAACATACCATGCACAGGCCCAACTTCTACGTCCAGTCTGCAGCAGCAAACGATTCATCAAGTCTATTCTGCTTTAATCATCGGAGTAGCAGGTTCCGGTCGTTCCAGGCAGTACTCTACCAATCAAGAGACGTAAAAGTACCTTCTGAGTGCATATATCGATCACTCCCGAGCAGCAGGGACTGGCTGGGCTTGATACTGAGAAACTCCAAAACTGGTCCCATATCGCAGATGTCTCGCAGACAGTGCAAAGTGCGGATAAGTTGAGGACCTGGCTGCTCTCGAATCGATTTCAGCCCCACTAGTGACTAGCCTGGCCGAGCATTATCACTTCAAATCGCTGCAAGCACCCATCGGGGGACCTTCTATCGTTGCCGAGGTCGCTGCAGTTTTCATTTCCGCAATCTCTTTTTGAGGACCAGGCAATGTACTGTACTTGAGCGCCGTTCGAACGATACATGCCTGAAAATCTAATCTCCTAGAAAAGGAGAGGACTGTTGCTGATGGGGAGTTGTATGAAGTTCTGGAACAATTAACCTGAACGCAGAGATCCTAGAAGCCCCGATGGCAGCTGTTAGACGAGCCGTACGGGTTCAGCTGCAAGCTGGCCGCTGCCTTCGGGCAGTGATGTTATGAACAGGCCGAGGGGGAGGGCGAGGAGGGCCGGCTAAGTCCCCAGCCATGCAATCGAACAGAGACAGAGTACCTTGATAGCAAACTCATTTGGTACAGTTAGCTTGCAGATCGGAAGCCGGCAAACTAGCCAGGACTTTTTCGAAGACACCAGAAGAAATCCAAAGATCCGTGGTCCTGCTACAACTCCCGCCTTCAACCCCAGTGGATCTCTCGTGGAGAAGAACCTGCCTAGTGTTTTCCAGTGCAGCTGGACACCTGGGGGAGTCTTCTATCTTGGTGACCGCAGGGGATGAACCAAGAGCAGATCAGAGTTGGAGATGAGAACGGGCTACAAGGGAGGTTTAACCAACACGGCCATGTAATGGGTGTGTGACGGTGAGGATGTTCTTCGCTACCGTGGCTGCGTTTGGACACTTCTGTAAGCAGGGCGATGTCAAGCAAGTCTTCATGTGCGGCAAATTTCGCGACAATGAGAAGATCTACATGACTCAACCAATTGGCTGCGAGCATGCCACCGATAAACTCTGCCTCCTGCTCCTGCCTATCTACGGCCTCAAGCAATCTGCGAGACTGGTATTACGAGTTTCTTGCTGCCGCGACAGATACCGGATTGGTGGCATCCCAGGCTGACGAGTGCTTCTTCATCAGGAAGCATGGAAAAATCATGATTTTGTATGTCGACGATATACAAGTCGCTGGACCAACAGAAGACCTCCTCAACGCAGTCGATCGAGGCTCTTCACCATTATTGGTTCTAATAACGCCGCCTGGTAACTCGGGATGCCCTATCTTCCCAAAGCATCGGTCAGCAATTCGAGGACTATAAGTGCAGCGGCAGTAAATAGCTCAGAATCTCGGACTTTACACTCCTCAGCCCCAACGAGGGCTTACTTCCCTCGCTTCGGTATTGTCAAGTCTGAAGCTCTAAATTGGCCCACTTGGTCTCCAAAAGTGAGGGCATCGGGTACAAGACCGTCGCCCTCATCGGGCGCCGGTCACAAATCAAACCCGAGCCCTTTGCCGTTCCTACTATTATTGTTGGCTTTGAATGAGGACCTTACGACAACTGAGATTGGCGACGTATAGCTCGCAAGGTCTACTACCATGCAGTAGAACTTTATGCCGGGATCTCTATAGAGCTAATTAATCCTAGCATGGAGGCGCTCCTCTGCTGTTCTCCCGTGCAGGCCACGCCCCCTCTTGTCCTCGTCTTCTGGCTTGGGGTCATGTTCTAGCATCCTAACAACAACTGCTGTGCTAAAAGCGAGGTCATGTCTCGCGGAATGACATGGTTTCCAGCTAGACGAACCTCTGTTCTTGTCAGTTCAGAGGACAGTGAGGACGTCATTAGCCTTGCTGACAACTTCCAGAGAAGCATGTTGAACACGGGTGATGATACTGCGAGTCAAACGACCTGATCATGTCAAACGCAACTGTCCCTATGGGTGTGGAAACAATAGCAAGTCCTCCTTTCTGTCTACGTGATCTGTGTATGCTCCTAGCTAATCGGTAGCGAATGGGATCGTCAGGAACGCGCACGCAAAAATGTGATTCGCGCTGAACTTAGGCAATCAAGCAGTACAAGCTCGAGATGGAGACCTTGTAAGCTCCGCCAAACAATCCCTCGTCAAGTTGCACGGCCATTGCTTCTCCGCACAATACAAAGGCTACCTCTAATATGGAATCATTCAGTCTCGACTACACTGCAATCGAAGTAGCGGTCGTGAAAATATTGCAGCCCCTATCAGGTCGCGAGCGGTGTTGAAAACGCAGAGTGTTTATCCCCAAGAGGAAGCACCCTCTTGGTTGGCAAGTTAGGGCTGCTAGCTGCTGGGAATCTAAGCTCAGCTCTGCGAGGGCATCCTCGTGACAAGCCCTGACTAGCTTCCTATCGACCTGGTGTGTGACATATGCCGCATGGAGGCGTTCGGACGTGTGTCGGTGGCTGTCGCAGACAGAAGTGCAACTATCGTCTGCAGGTCGGTCACAAGTCCTGATCCTTACAGTGGGTGCAATAGGCTCTGAGCACTGGAATGTCTGTGCAACACTACAGATTAAGCCCTCATTTGCTTGCTGCAGCATTATGGTGTCTATGGCCGACTGAGCAATTTCATGTCAGGACTTAGAGGGCCTCGCAATTCTGCTTTGTTCACTAAAGTCTTCATTCACCACCGACTAGTCTGGTTCAGAGTTTGCCTGTCGGCTTCCTTGATTAGCTATCCTGAGTCAGGACTCTCAATTAAACGAGTGATGAAGAGTGCGGTGCCTTCTTGGACCACACTTGTTCAAACAAAGGCCAACCCGATGACATACCTCAATTTGCTCAAGCTTGTACTGACCAGCCAGAACTAGCCATCAGCGATGTTCTTGATCATGCACCACTGGGAGTTAAATATGCTAAAGCAGGCGCTCGAGAATACTGAGATTTCTGGTGACCTACCGGTACAATCAGAGCAATAATGGAGGACGTGTCTTTTGATAATGCCCTGCTCGACAAACCGCTTCGCGAGATAATGCAGCATCAGCAACAGGAGCAGGAGGAAAATTGCCAGATGCTTTCTCCCATGGTGCCCACTAGATATGCATGAACTTGATATCTCCGGTCCTACTCACCCCGAAGCAGACAGCGACGGCGAGGATAGCGACAACAATGACGCATACGAAACTGCCGCCGAGCCACATCCCAAGGGACGAAGCCATGTAGTAGCTGTCGTGGCGACTCTGCAATAACCACAAACATCGAATCTAGCATTTCGACGTGAAGCCACATGCCGCCAGTCTCTTCACCAAAGTGCACTACGGGGCCCAAGATGGCGAGATTCAACGCCTCAAGCATTACCTCCTGACGGCCGATCACCTCCAGCTCTACTTGCGTGGCTTTGATATCTCGGACGAGATTGCTAGGTTGCTTCTGGCGTACTGTAACAGCGTCGCGCAGCCCCCCCTCTCCCTTTGGTATCCCAACACGAACGGAAAGGCGGTTATGCAGGTCGGACAGTTGTGTCCACGGGAGTCTAGGCCCCAGGTGGACGAGGACGCCTGTGTCTTCTTCGAGTCTCTTGATAACTATGCTACTAACCCGGGCTACACCTCTGCATATGCTGAGAAATACTTTGAGCAGAGCACTGCTATAATAGAGGCTGGCCTGAGCCGCCTCTGTATAATGAAGATTCCCGGCGCCGGCGACCGTTGCTACTTGGGATCTCTGGAGTTTGCGGATACTAAGTATTAATCCCAGATCGGGGACAGGCTTAAGATCAACTTTGACACTGATAAGAAAAGCTGAGACGGAACCTGGTCTGTGTTTGTGTATAACCTAGTGCCTTTCTCCCCGGTAACCAGCACCACAGTCATGCTGACTCGCCCGTGGAAGTCCGAAACTGGCAAATAGGTTATACTGGATGAGGGCCTTGAGCTCCGTCCCCTGAGTATTAACATTACTGAAAATATGCTACCTGCGGTGTGTACTAAGCAGCTGCTTAGTATTGCACTGCAGGATGTGCGGGTATATCTAGTCTACAGGCCTCGGATGCTGATAATATACTGGTAGACAAACCAAGTCTTATTACAACAGTCCGTGAATTTTACCGGCTGCAGACCGCACGGCCGACCGAGTCCTCCGACCCCCGGGTGCGGCACATGTCAATCAGTCTTGGTCACCGCATGCTAGAGATGAGAGAAGTGTCTTACGCGTGAGGGCATTCCCTGCGTTTCCACTAGGGCTTGTGACAGACGAATGGGAACGATTGGCACTCGGAGAGCAACAAGCTCAGCACACATAGAAGCAGCATATATCATTCCCTTATCCTTTGCAAGACGATACGATCCAAGGTACTATGTTTTTCAAATTATCCTGCAATGGGCCATGCTAATTTGCGCAGGGAGCTTTCAACAAAATGGTGTGCTTGCAACCAGATTTGCTGTACCTGTGCTTCCTCGATCAAGTGAAGGGTCAAGCCGATAGGGTACACTCGTTGCAGCAACTTGGGCTAACGCAAGATTGCCCCAACCAATCCTTCCAGGGCAACAAGTAAATCTACTGGCCGTGGCTTCGATGTTTCCATATTCTTGGTACAGGATATTTCCATTCTGCTGATGATCGAGAGCAGTGCCTTCCCAACGTGTGTTGCAGAAATTCTGGAAGATTAGAACCAACAGCCACTGCCTACATCCAGCATATTTACATTGACGGCAAGTGTCTTTGTCTGAACATCAACAGGTCTAGTATCACATTACTGCAGATTGACATGACTTTCAAACGTAAACTCATGGTCTGATCACAGTCAAGGGCCTAAAGCTAGGCTTCGGCAATTCGTGTATCCAACTATGCACCGCATAGCAGAAGCTATTGCAGCGGCTGGGCCAGCGCTTCAGCAAGCGGTGCAGAAGGTGGAAATTACCACTTTGTCGTCAACGTACTACTGTCCGGGCAATTGATCTTTCGATGGGCAGTGGCTCAGTGTTCAAACATAGGATGATGCTTAGGTCACTGGGATCTCCTACCAACAACGCCAAGAAAGCGTGGGTCTAAAGAGATGGGTCAAACTGCAGTCGCTCTTCTGAGAGCGATTCTTTGGCATGTGCAGATTGAGAATGAAAGAAAAGACCTCGTATCTGGTCGATACAACGGAGAAAGCACTGCAAACGGCCAAAGTGCTCAATTTCTTTGCAGACCCACCGCCGCGTGATCCCGACAAACCACAAAGTTGCACTTACGACAGGTACATGAGAGCAACAAGCTTCATAGAGAAGCAAGGATGGTAATGACCCGGGGTAGTTTTCCATCTTCGAGGGCAGAAACGCATGCCTCTCATGCCAACGAGGCTTGGGAGACTGGAAACCGTGCATTGCAATGGACAGGGACACCTTAACGACCAGATGAGCACCCAGCGCGCTTGCGGGAACTGCATCAAGATAGACGAGAAAAGGCTAATGTTCATTCCCCCCCTTCCTGGACGCCCGGCGTGGCTCGATGTGGAATAATACCCGATTGGGCCTTTGACCGGCCATTCTGATCTTGGAGTCAGAAAATCGGCATGTAGTTTCCAGTCTGTGTGCATCTTGATGTTGTGGTCTGTGACTGGATTATGGCGGCGGATCTGGCGAGGTCTAGATGTGAAGTCTTCTGTCTGGTGTAATATCAACCACCTGGGATACTCCAGTCGATCTCACACAGTCGAAACTGAACAAGAAGTAGGAGAAGGAGAAAGGGTCGTTCAGTTTGGGAAAATTGGAAACAAATCGCAAGACAAAAGGCAGGGGGCAAGCAACTCATATAGCAGCAACCGAGAACGATGGTCCCGAAAATCAATGATTTCGAGTCGAAGACCTCAGAGTTGTACCCCAAGATCAGAAACGGTTGTATAATCACTAAGGCCGATTATCCGGACATCGAAGAAGCCCACGTTTACCCCTCCTCTCTCATGAAACGCCATACCGTCACTAAGTTGTCGTCTGAGATCCCGTTCTTCACGGTCTTACGATACTGGTGGACAGAGAAACGTGTGCAGGCGTGGCAACAGCAGATCTTCAGCCGGGCTGATGATCAAACCTTGGCTGTAGAGTCTGCAAGCAACATCGTCACATTAAGCAAGAAGTTGCGTGTATACTGGGGAGGTCGGCGTTTTCATCTTGGTGCCAGACCCAGGCGGTCCATTCCGCGACAAAAAAGACTCTTAGGGTGTGCGTTGTCTAGCTGCCGCCACCACCAAAGGGAAATGGCAGCAAGCAGGTTCATCTATATCAGAATAGCACCAAAGAAGGATGAAAAAAAAAAAAAAATGAAAAAAAAGCCGACGGTCAAACTTCGTGCTAACAAGGCACGTGTGCAACTCGCTCGTGAGTCGAGCATACACAATGCCGGTCATCCCTTTTGGTTAGCAGTTAAGATTAACCAAGCATCGGCATTGACAATTGCGAGAACACTCAACGAAATCGAGGACCCCGCTTGAAGGAGCAGAGGCAGAACAGCCCACCCAAGAGTACATAGACAAATCCCGCAGCAATGATTTCTAACCATCTCGCTACCAGGACATGAAGGTTTTCGGAGCCTTACTGGCTTTGAGGACCAAGCGTAGATTACGTTAAAGCGCGCGAATTTATAAGCGCAGTCTGGGTGAAGAAACTACTGTGAAACGCCCAACTATGCGTAAAGTGAGGGTTGAGTTCTCATCAAACGCCACTACGCAAGACCCAGGGTTGCAAATGGCCTTCTTACTAAGGTGCTATTGTATGAGCTTGTCTCTGGGCGTTCCCACCCGCACATCGGCTATTGGCTATGATGCACAGCTGGAAACACTCCGACTCCGGTGGACTCGGACTCGGCACTCAACCGATGGTCCGGCGGGCTGAGAATCTTATAGAAGTCTGGCATTTGACACTGGAAAAAGAAACGGAGAATAGAAAGTTAAATCCCTCAACCACCTGCACGCTACGATCGTAGCTTCTTGGCTGGAGGGGCAAAAACAAACCTCCATTCTACAACCTTCTCAGGCTCTTCCACCACGTCACAATGACAAATGCACGTTCTGACAAATTCACCAGGAGATTCTCATATGCCAGGTTGATTCGAAGAATGGTATAAAAGCTTAGAGATGTAGCAAGAAATCTCGACGAAACCAATCATACTTTGTGCCTTTCTCGTAAATCCAAATGAACAGCCCCACCATCGGAGTCTTCCCGGCTGCAGGAGGTATTGGCGGGGGCACGGTCAAGCATCTCCTGCCACGTTTTCCGTCCAAGCAGCTTGTGTTTATCGCTCGGAGTCCCGAAAAACTCAGGAACCTGCCCATAGACCAAGCTGTTCTCCGGCGGGCTGACTACGACGACAACGAGAGCCTGAAAGTTGCCTTCGAGGGGTTGAACATACTCTTCCTAATCTCCTATGCCTCCGTGGAGCATGAATATCGAACCGAGGTAAAACTAAAGCTGGGATTCATCCCCTAGGTGGAAGCGCCTAGGCAGAACACATGCTGACCACGATATGCTTGGGATAGAGACACCGCACTGCCATCGACCATGCGATTCGCAGTGGTGTGACACATATCTTTTACGGGTCGCTAGGCTATGGTGGAAACCCAGAAGGCGACGAGTCGGTGGCACACGTTATGCAGGCGCACCTGGACACCGAGAGGTACCTCCAGGAATGTACGCGGCAGCATGTGGGTTTCTCCTACACGAGCATCCGCGAAGGTCTCTACTCCGAGTCGTACCCGCTCTATACCGCTTTCTTTGATCCGAAGCAGCCTGTCGACGAGATAAAGATACCGCACGATGGTGCAGGCCCGGGGATCGCATGGGTGAAGCGTGAAGAGCTCGGGGAAGGAACCGCAGAGCTCATCAAGCGATTCGTGCAGGACCCGGACGGGTTTCCCTATCGCAATCGCAAAGTGCTCTTGTCCGGCCCGCGAACCCTGACCCTCGGGGAGACGGTGTCCATTCTGGCCAAGCTCGCCAAACATACTGTGCGCATCCGCCATGTCTCCGTGGACGAATTTGCCAGACAACCTTCGGTTTCTTCCAACTTCATCTACCATGGCGTGGACCATTCCGCGTTGTGGACCACCACCTTTGAGGCCTTTCGCCGAGGAGAAGGCGCTTTCGTGTCCACATTGTTAAGAGAGCTCCTGGGACGCGAGCCGGAGGACTTCGAGACAACCGTGTCCCGAGCTCAACCGTACAATTGAGGAAATGGCTTGTGGGGACTGGGAAGACTGAGATCCCCTTGATCGTCTGTATTGTTTCTTGAAAACAAGAAATTCTATAGGATTCGCATAGACTTTTTATGAATTTCTGCCACCGTAACATAATTAATACCTTACCTAGTATAGATCCCACTGGTCAGTCAGAAGAACAAGCAGAAGGTAGAGAATTGCAGTGATTGAGAACAGGCATATGCAAGGGCGCAGGCCTATAGAACAGCTAAATCAGAGTGTACTGCGAGTACCTGCATGTAGGTTGTCACGTATCCCACAATCCTAAAACATGAACTACTACTAGTACTCAGTGATGAGGTCAACTATGCGACCAATGACAGGGAAGGTGGCGGACAGAGATGGTGAAAAAACCCCAGTGGATTAATAAGCACTGTAACTGTAACTAACCTAACTACACACATCTCAAGTCCAGCGCACCCCACCTGTTTAACATCACGGGAAAGCTATCATATGTTTCTCAAGCTAGTCTACGGTCTGTATTCTCATGCCGAATACTGCTTAGGTATAAACCTCTCGTCGAACAATGTCAGATGGGGCTCGCTCGAGATTCCCTCCGGGCAAACGGTCCGCTTCGTCACGACGACATGCCTGCGATCGTTGTCGAAGGCAGAAGCTAAAAGTAAGGAGACAAGATTGACACGCCTTTCCCACCCCCGCGCTGACTGGTATGCGCTTCATCAGTGCGACGTTGAGAAGCCGTGTTCTCTATGCATGCGCTCTGGCTTCGTCTGCGAGACAACCTCGGCACCTTTGCGGTAGGTCGATCGTGTCCACCGGCTACGTTGGAATCCTAGATTAAGTAAGTTCTAGCAAGTCGACCCGATCCTCTAGGTCTTCCATTTTGCGGGATAGAAGCAGCTATCATTTGCGGTCCGATATGGGGACTCCCTTGCAAGCTGATCAAGCCCGTCAAGGCTTCCATCATGGCCTCAACAAGCAGTTGGAATCCCTTGCCGAACCCCATCGATATCACCAAGCATCTGCGGTGGAGCTTACTGATCAGGTAACCTCCGATACCCGGCATTTCTCTTCGCCATGACCATTGATGTTTAGGTAGCTTTTTCAAAAGCACGATCAAGGGTTGCAAGCGTCACCTGCGGCTCCTGGGAACACTTCTGCGCTTCCTGGAGGAGCATTTCTGAGCACCCGAATCCTCGGACACACCAGCAAGGAAAAAAGTACCAGCCTCACTGAACAGTTCCCGGGCCTCGCCATTCCATCTCGGGCGGTCTGCGACTTCTTGTTGCAATCGTACTGGGACTCAGTTCACTGGTTCACACTGCTCTTCCACATTCCTTCGTTCGAGGACAGCTACCGCCGAATTCTCGATGATCAATGCCTAACTGCCCGTCAGAGGGGCACTGCAGTCCTGATTCTAATGGTGCTCACTCTGGGGGCCACATATGCCCCGGACGAGCAAAGCATGCTAGTTGGGGTCTCCCGGTCGGATCTAAATGTCCTGCAGGAGCGTATGCTGAACCAGATCCAATCCCACTTTTTCGACATGTTAGACACAGGAGGGGTAGAGTGTGTGCAGTTGTGCATCCTACTCAGTACATTCCACCTCTACACGGGTAGGCCGAACCTGGCGATGCCCATACTTGGCGCGGGGATCCGCAGTGCCCAGGCGCAGGGGCTGCACAAGGAGGCGCTGTGGGGCCCTGCGAACGAGATTGTGGTCGAAGTTCGCCGGAGAACTTGGTGGGCCCTCTATGTTTTTGACAGGTGCAGTTGCCTTCTGAATGGAGAATAGTAGGATTGACCGTGGATGCTGACCTCCGCAAAAACCAGGTTTGCTTCCATCACCTACGGTCGGCCGCCTTCGATCAGCGACTCGCATTGTGCCGTGGCCATGCCCCGAGATCTGGACGATCTGATGACAGTGCATCCGGTATTTGGCTCGAATAGCCATCGTGAATCGAATGCCTTGCGGCCACCCGCTACCTTGGGCGCATATCAGAGGCACAAGTTTGAGCTATATTCCATTGCCGGTCCGATCATTGGCGATATTTACGATCTCAACGAATGGAAGTGGGAAGCGGTCATAGACCAGGCAGTGGGGATCAACACGAAGCTGGTCACATGGTTTGACACGCTGCCCTTGGAGCTGCGACTGGAAAGCCATCTCGACCTGGACACCTCGCAACTCACCAGGCATGAAGCGGAAGTGTGCCGGGTGTTCGAGCTTCAGGCCTTGGTCCTGCAGTTAGCGTACGACAACATCCAGATCATCCTCCATCGACCCTTTCTCCGATACACACGGCGCCTGATGACTCAGGGCTCTCGCAGCTTGTACTCCGACGCGCGGCCTACGAGCTTCGAACAGTGCGAGCACTGCGCTCGGCGCACCTGCAGCATCGTGCCACGGTACCAGAGCGTCCTGCGTGCCGCGCAGACCACCCAAGCTGCCGCATACATCGCCATCCAGAACTTTACCGCAGGTGTGACACTAGGGATGGTGGCTCTCTGCAGCCTGGGGTCCGTGCAGTCCTTGGATGCCAAGCGCGGGGTGGCAAATTCCATTGCGCTGCAGAAAATGCTCGCCGCCTCCTCCGTCGTATCGTCACAGACGGTCAAGGTCCTCAAAGTGCTGCTGGAGCTGATTTTCCGTCGAGAATTGCAATTTTTACTCGGCGAGCCCGCCGCGGAACCATCCCCGCCGAGCCGCAGTGACGGAATGATGCATGAACCCAACGGGCGCCCGCGGCCGGCGGCACACCGTGGTGGATTTGCAGATGAAGGGGGCCTCGACCCGTCCATACCGGCCATTATTCTCAACAACCGAGCAAGCATGGAGCAGCTTTCGTCCAAGGTCCCGGGGGCCTCAGAGGCCCGGAGGGATACGCAGGGTCTAGCTGAAATGCAGCATGAGGGGACGAATGCGGCGGCGCCAGGGGACGAATTCGCCAATGAATCTCCCTTGGTCTGCGGAATTGATGAGGCGCTCGAGTTTGTACAGCAAGGTGTGTAATTTTCTTGTCCCTTTTTCTCTCGCTATTGGAATACCCTTGCACGATCCATGTTCAGGTGTTCAGTGCGTCTAATCAAGCGATTCTTAGTCCTGTGGGAGAACTCCGGCCCAATCATACCTCCGAGCAACGAGATAGTGGCCACCACTGGCATGCAGCCCGAGGCGTCCGCACAACCACCGCCATCTGTCCAACCAGAATCAACCTTGTCCAACTCTTTTGGCAATCATCTAAGTCCGATAGCCTCGATGGCCGAACCCGCGAGTCACGGCCAAAATAAGCTCAATGCTCTGCAATTAAGTCAGAGCTGGATCTGGAACCCTACCGACTTCTCTTGAGGAAAAGATGTGCCAATCCGTCATTCAAAGCGGGAGAGACAGAAGTCCAGATGACTTTGAAGGATCAAATGTATAATCACGGAAGGGAGAAGGGGGGAAGAGCAAGTCCAAAGAATTGACATTTTGCTGCGAATTATTCGTGATTGAAGGAACTTTCTGCTGAGACTAACATACAGAAGCAATCTGCACAAACGAAATGAACTCCGCTGTTACTCACACACATCTACAAACTCTCCCACTCGCTCTATCTCTGATCTCACATATTTCTTCGGCATGACACAATTAATCACATCTCTATCAACCTCCCCTTCCCCCCTCCCTCCTTTACCCTTTATTTTTTGGTCGACGCGGTCAGCTAATCCATCCATCCCCATACCACCAAAAAAACAAAAAGAAAAAGCAAAAATAGAAGAAGAAGAAGAAGAAGAAGAAGAAGAAGTAGAAGAGATTACCGCACAAACTGCTCCACAAACCCCGCCCCGAGCCCGACCCGCTCATAATGCGCGCGGGCGGCCGCCAGCTTGGAGAAGACGTCCTCGACGCCTAGCGGGCGACCCTGGGCATCAACGTAAATGTACGCGCCGGTGACGTGGAATAGAGTAACCATCTCGGCTACTCCGGCGGGTACCTCGAGGGTGTGGATGTCGCCGGGCGGCTCGAAAGCGTGGCTCCCCTCGGTCGCCCACCAGGGGTGCTCCAGGTAATGCCAGCGGCCACGCAGAACAGTGGCGTGCACGGGACCGGTGTGCCGGTGGCGCGAGAGGATGCCGCTGCGGCGCACGCGCAGCAGGTTCACGAAGTAGCCATGGCTGACGTTTAGGAGGAGGGGGCGAAACCAGACACCCGGGGCCTGGGGGACCCAGAGGCGCTCGTCGCCCACGTCTTCCGAGGAGGAGGTGGAGGTGCATGTGGCCATTGCAAAGGTTACGGCGTTGGGGATGACGAGATCGGCGGAGACGTTGGGTAGGGGGTCGCCCTGGTATGGGGAGGGACAGTCATGATGAGGCTGTTGGTGGTGGTCGTGGTTGGCATGGTCGGAGGAGGTTGTTGGGGGTGCCAGCATGGTTGAATTGGGGGGGAGGAGGGGTGTTAATCGGTGTGGGTTGTCTGTCAATGAATGCCCAGTGAGGGAAGTAGAGCGAATTGCAGTTGGTGCGAACGGAGGGGGGATGAGCGTTTATAAGATTTATAGTATATGTGCCATTGTATACTTTATTGGATGACTCTGTCCATTCTCTGTGATCATATCAAAGATTGAGTGTAACTCAGGATAGGGCCCTGCCCAGATGGACATCACTGCATTGATCAGAAGTCCGGTGGAAGCCGGTACTGACTTTTAATAGTTGCAACTGACTTTCCGTACCGCGGTGTAGTCCGAGTCCGGTGGAAATTATCCAAGATGTTGACGAGCTCACGTGCCATGGTTAGGCCTTGGAATGGTTCGGTCCCGGTTCTGGAAACTTGGGACCGGGAGTCCGGGACCGGACTATGCAGACTTTACTTTTTACTTACATTACCCAGAACTATACTATAGGCCCCTGCAGCCCTAGATAGTCTTTATTCTAAGAAAACAACTTTTATATTGATATACTAAAACATTCTAATTCAAAGCTATATAAATATAATCACTAATTATAGTATCTTATAGATATACAACAATAGTTTTATTTCACTAGAATATATCTTTATTCATTAAGTATTAAATAAATTATTCTGTTTCTTTAGCTTTATACTTTGTATAAGACTGAGACAAGTAGAACTTTTTTGGTATGTAATACTTGCTACTGAGGCAGCCTGCTTTTAGGTTAAAACTGATTCGCCAGGCTTTTAATCTGGGTACCTATATTATTCTGCTACTTACCCCTCCTTTTTGTATAGTACATATCCTGTTGGAATTAGAGTGGCTAACGGCCAGGTCAATGTTAATAGTGTAAGGGCCCTGGCGCGCCCTTCCAACCTTCGCGGTTGATATCACAGAGGAATACTATATAGCTGGCCTAAGGCATTAGATATATAATAGCTAAGCAAAATGACAGGAGGGACTAGGCCTTGGAAAAGACCGCAAAGACCCAAGGACCAGACCGCACCAGACCGCACTGCACCGGTCTTTGGTCCTGAGTCCAAGGACCGCTGGGCGGTCCTAGATTATTAAAAACCGCACTACTGCGGCTTGGTGCAGTCCTGTAGTCTTATAATAAAATTACAAGTGTAAGGGCCTTGCGAGCCCTTCCAACCTTCGCGATATCAATCGCGAAGGAATGTATATAAAAGAAGGCCTAAGGCATCAGCCACGTGACGGCTAAGCGAGGTGGCCGCGGAACCACCCAAGGCAGCGGCAGTCCCGCGAAGTTAGACAGATCAGCAACAACACCTTAAGGCATAATACTACCACCTTGGCTATCGCGATAAGGCATTCGTTCACTACACTTTTCCACCCTTTAGCCCTTATAACAAGTGTTGTGATATCATAAATTTCCGTCGTGAACTAAACTTGTATTACTTGCCAGCAGGGGTATGCTTTACACTATAGCCTTATTTCTCATGCTTCGAAAGCTCTGCACGCAAAATAAAACGGCGGGGCGTCTACAGCAGCAGTGTAGTTACTGCAAGTAGATCCAAATGTAGCAGCGCGTTGTCATGTACCCCTTATTCCAAGCTTGAGATTTACCTGTGCTTAGATATTCTCACTTGGAATATGCACCAATTGCAAGACAACGCCCGGCAATAACACAGAACTATTGGTAAGATAGTATGAGATGAGTATTCTTGATGATCTCATTCCTGATCTATAGTATCTGTACTGTTCAAGATGAGTTAAGACATCTTAGGTAATTTCTTGAGGAAACTAGGGGAATTATCGTAATCATCCAATCGACGACCGCGATCCGCTTCGACCGGGTATTCCCTACCTCCGGGCAGCCCTGGTCAGCAAAACAAAAATAGTAGTATATTCGAAGTGGTGATAGAAAGCAAGATGGTTAGGGGAGTACCAGTCAATATCCACACCATCGAGCCCATAGGTGTCCATAAAAGAGATCAGCAAGGCGACAAAGGCCTTTTGGTCTGCCTCCGAGCCCGCCAGATTGGAAAATGTATAGAGGGTGGACTCTTGGTTTTATTGGTGGCTTGAACCGCTAATGTGGTGGGATCAATAGTACCGAAGGCGAAGCTATGGGCAACATAAACTTTTAGTTACCTTGTAGTGCACATAGGATACATGTCCTCTGACTTGACGTGTGTATAAATTCCATAGGGAAGTTAGGTAGGGAGAAGAACATTGCAAGCATGCGAAGACATGGCATAAGCCTTGTAATAGCCCGATAATCTGAGTCACATTTGGACTTGAGGCATCACACGATGGCCTGGTGACGATGGTATCACCATAAAACTCACTTGTTGTACCACGGAACCCATACCTGATCTTAGATAATCAGAAAAGTAACTGAACCTTGTTTAAACAAGGCTTGGACATATAAACTGCAGCAGACATTCAGAGGATATGTGCTGGTAATAATATAAGCTGAATCCCAGTTATTAGGGTCACATTCTACTTTGGTATTACAGCTAGCTGTATTATTTCCAGGATCATTTAAATCGCCTTGCATCCCATGACTGGGCTTTTCATTTCGATGCTCTAATATCAAGACTTATCCCTAGTCCACATACCCAAATCACGATCAGGCTATTGCGAAGTCTAGCTCTCAAGCTCCTTCTGAGTCCAATTCCATAGTTTTTCTGCTAACTGGTCATCTTTTGCATTGTCTGTGATCTGTCCTGAAATACCGATTGGCTCATAATACTCTCCGCTCTCCACGTCCCCAGACACAGATGCCCAAAGCTGATTCTTAGCACCTTGCTCAACAGTAACGGCCATCATTTTTGCAACACCGCGGAAGGCTCGCATGATGGCCGGCGCCTCACTTGCTCGATCCATCAGTTCAGTCTGTACCAGGCCTGGGTGAACGGAGGCCACGGTCAACTGGGGATATACTTTGGCAAGATACCGTGCCCAAAGAATATTGGCTAACTTGCTTTGGGAGTACCGTTCAAAGCCACTCATATGTTCAGCCGTGCTTTTGAGCCGAGCAAAGTCCAGAACATCCTTGGGCGCTTGCTTAAACGCAGTCGAGGTCATGGAGACCACTCGCACATCCGCACCGGTGTCGGTGGTCTTGAGTAACAGCGGCATCAGTAGTTTAGTAAGTAGGGCGTGTCCCATGTGGTTGGTGCCGAACTCGATCTCGTAGCCGTCCTTGGTCAGACCCGGCGGCACGGCCATAACCCCGGCGTTGAGCATGAGAATATCCAGGCGGTCAGATTCCGTGAGAACTATCTGGGCGGCTTTTTTGATGGAGTCGAAGGAGGCTAAATCCAGCTCGAGGAAACGGATCGGCACGTTCGGAACCTTCTGCCTTATTTCGTCGACTGCTGCTTGACCGCGCTCGGCGTTACGCGCAGCCAACCAGATCTGACTGGGACTGTGTCGCGCAAATTCCAGGACACATTGCTTTCCAAGACCGACATTTCCCCCTGTGACCAGGATAACCTTGCCAGCAAGCGATGGAATGTCGCTCTCTGGATTAAGGGCACGGACTTGTTGCAGCTGAAAAACATGTCGATCCCCTAAGGCAGGATTTGCGAGTATGTAGATAATCGTGACGATAAAAAACGGAAATGATAATGGCACACAGCTCAGGGATAGAGTAGATGAAATAACATGTATATAATAAAAGCTGGCCAGTCGGCAGCGTGAACGGAGATAAGAACAGTGGCGCCACTGTTAAACTCTAGTAGTGGGGCTATAATTGAGTCGGCGGAGTTAGGAGTTTAGATGAAATATCACCATCGGCTTCCTAAGTCAGCTAAGGTCCCCTTAATCGTTGAAAAGATAGGGGGTTAAATTAAGAAATCTCATTGGCTTATTGATGTATTCAAGGCTCGCAAACAAGCGGCGGTAAATATTGTCGGCAAGTGATAAATGGCTTTCCTATCCAGGGTTTCTAATGACCGAGTACAGTTCCCGAGTACGGTTCCCGACTTTGGGACTAAGACCAGTTAAATATTGTCATCGGTTTGCCGGCATTCGTAACCATACAGGGACTCTCGGTGAACACAGATCACGGCAGCTCTTTTTGAGGGTGGCGTGGAACGTTAGTATGTGTAAAAATAATGAAAAGATGATGTGGAATGTGATTTTAGAGTTATGCAAATACAGGGTCAGTTGGATGTCACATGATTTTTTCGTGCTTACTAAGAAGGTTTTGTTCCACGCGACGCTAAAAAACGACACAACCGATCTGCAACCTCTAAAAAAAAACACAACCGATCTGCAACCTCCGCTCCAGCGCCCGGGCCGAGTGGACCGGATCTTTCGCTTTTATTTTGGGACCCGAGCGACCCGTACTGCTGTAATACTTTAGAATTACTTTCTATACTTTAAGAATAACCCAGTATCGGCCAAGTATAATACAACCGCCTGGATCGAGTATGTAGAGGAATACAGGATTTATATAGCAGGTTGACTAAAAGGAAGAATCAAAGTACTAAAGTAAATAGCGTTTAAGTACTCTACCTGTATATAATTAAAAAACTTTTTGTAGATAGTGAAACTAGAGATTTTTAGTTGTTCTGTTTATCTTGAAATAAATTTGCAAATCCAAAGTATTTAGTGCTAACAAACCCTTCATTCATGTTGTGCTAGCTTTTTCCTGCCAGCAGACGGACCTTTTCAGCTTGACCCTCCGTGATCTCCAGGCATATGTCGCATCAACAAACAGCACTCAGATCAACTCCGACCAGGAGGCTGGAGTGTTTTGCAGTCTCTCAAGCATCAAATACGGAACAAAAGTGTGCTCATGGTGGAACAATGGCTTCTCTCTTCCTTGCTTCGAGGTTATTCTCTTATCCTTCCGGCTGTTCTTTCGCCTTTGCTTGCATTCACCCTTTCAGCCAACCTCTCACCGGTTCTTTCAGCTCCGCACCAAGAACACCTCTACATATGCATTACAAGGCTAACTGAGATACTCTTTTAGATCTATCTTCCGAGACCGTTTTCCCGAACAAAGCCTGCAGTTGAACTTCCCCGCCATGCGTTCAAAGATCCTACACACGTTGATCCAAGGGCATGGTTCTACACACGTTGATCCAAGGGCATGGTTCTACATACGTTGATCCAAAGGCCATGCCCGAGACCCCAGCGATTCAAGACGGTCGTACCTTAACGCACTTAACACTAAGAACGCTTACAGATACACTCCTTCAAAATTCCTTTCTCGAGTCAACCTAGAAATTCACATAACAATGCCTTTTGAAGCCGAATACGCCTAATGCTAGGATCGAGTTCTGCTATAAATTCGCGGCTCGAACCAACGAGCCTCCACACCACCAACCCCCGACTCCGCCATCCATACGCCCTTACACTACACGCACTTCCACAGCTCGAACACTAGGACTATCCAATCACACACCATCCAATATTTCCGAACGGAATAAACCAGATGGCTCGCAGATTTGAACAAGCCATCTTGGCCGGGGAAGTGGCCGTCATCGGACCCGGGACAGTGGGCAGCATTCCCTTCACCGCTCCAGGCCCAGACTCCAGTGAAAACAAAGAACGGCAAGACGAGGGGCCAGACCGAATTCAGAGCTATCGGCACCGGAAGGCTTCTGAGCAATGGGGCCGCCGTGGTGGTGATGATCAGCACCGAGTGTGCGGTGCTCGCAAATATTCCTGCCCCCCTCGGACTCGACGACACAGTTGAGCCTGTGACCCGGAACTCGGTAGATACATTTCTAGAGGTGTGTCGCCGCACGGTTTAGGCCTCGCGGCGCCCCAAAGTTATGTGATCGTCGATGCTATCAACCCCGAGGGCTGGATCTGGGTGCTCCCTGATCGAGTGAGCCTTATCGAGAGAATGCTGAGTGATACGTTACCGGGGGCTGCACCGTCACAAGTTGGGTATGAGGTTCAAGGCTTCGCGTCCGATTGGGCGAAAGGGCGGGTATTCGTGGATGCCAGGGTCTATCCGCCCAAGGTTTATGTGGATGACGTGGAGATGGTGCAGGTCCACTTTGGTCCCAAAGACCGCATAATGGCATCAACTACACCTGGGTGGTCTCCTCCCGCGAGGGCGCGGGATTAGGTCCCGTCACGGTAGGGAGGCGAGCTAACCCCTGGCACTTGCTTTGATTGATGCCTTAATCATTGTCGGTGGTATGTACATGTTGTGGCCCTATCTAGGGCTGAGGCTTAGTATACCTTACCAAGTTCCATAAGAACAGACCTCATGGCCCGGAGGCTGTCACATGTAGTTCTATGTATGCCTCAGGCAGAAATACAGACTTTCCTAGGACTAACTTAGGGTTCATTCCTGCATGTTATCCCGCCGTATACCAACCAAGTCTCCCCGACCACCACCTATCTCCCCTCTCGAATGTAGCATCCATCTCTATTCAACATCCCCTTTCCTTAGATAAAATTGAAGATGAAAAAAAAAAAAAATAAAAAAGAAAAGACTGTATCAATAGTCATCAGCTTTCAGATCCGAATCGCCTTGCCATAATTTGAACAACGTCGTACGTATGTGCCAAGAGATGTGGCGTGGAGCTAGCTAGTCTAGTCGGTGTTACTTAGGGCTTGTCTTAGTCGTTGCGGATGGCTCCTGTCGCAGTACAAGAATAAGTTCAGGGTGTAAGCAGCATCATCCATAGGGCTAAATGCTACTAGAGCTTGCTGCGCAAGTTGAAGAGTCGAGGCGTGCGTATTCCTGTGTATCTAGCTACTTCCTGTAGCTACTAGCCCGCCCTGACGAGAGGGAATGAAAAGATATTCATATGCATACATGCATGCATGCAAGCTCGGTCTTAGCGGGATGAGCCAGACCGGGGTTGGTTGCAGGGATTTTTACGAGCACGAGTACCACGGGCTGGTTCGCGTCCAGTTCAGTCGTGGCTGGTGGGGAGGTCGACACCGTACGGCTCCAGGCTGGCGGGGGATTGCGCTAGTCTGGGCGGATGGTGAGGTTTTGGGAGGAAGTAGATGCAGTGATGTAACCGCCGGGAGATCTCTGGGAGAGGGCGGCGGCCCGCCATGGAACTGCCGGCGCCCCTCCGCTCCGCTTCACATCCGCATTTTGAAGGCTCATGGGCAGGTCTGAATAGCATCACGCATCTTGAAGCAGTATTCCAACCTTCTTATGACCTTGCTAAGGCGAAGTTAGCATCGTTCTCATACTACCGCATGGTTAGGTCCGTCTTGTCCATATTTCCAATTGTTTTCTTAGCTATAAGCTACAGGCTAGACTGTTGTCACGCAACTCCTACCAAAACCTCGGCACTGTGGCTACTGCAGCATAATCCAACAACTTCATTCTTATGACCTTTAGCCCTGTCTGCACCTTCGGCGAGCAGTAGAGCTATTCCACCCAGCAGACCGACCAGAGCCGTTCGCGGACAGCCTCGCGACGGTGAATAAGCCGTACCCAGGAGTAGAACCAGGATACGATAGCTATGAGATTCTACCGCGCAACAACTCAAGGATAGCGCTTGTTGGAAGCCTTGGTTGCGATGCACGCCACGGATGAGAAAGCATGGCCTGACGTCGCCATATGATGCCTGCGGCGGGTGAGGCGTGGATCGACGTCAAGGCTACTACGGCAAATCATCGGAAGTTGAAGGTGGTGCAGACGAAGGGTGTGTCTTCTGTAAGCAGAGCATTTGAATGTATTCCAAGGTCATAGACACAGTCCATTGTGCGAGAGCAACCATGGTCTGAGATACATTGCAAGTATAGTAGAGCTAAATAGCATCCTCCAGCTATTGACCATAACCATTTCACAGCATCAAACAAGTTTACCTCGAGGATTTGCCTCCCACCAAGCTAGCAGGGAAGCAAAGCAAACAAGCCCCCAAGCATACCAAGTCAAATAAACCTCCATCATCATCATCATCATCATCATCATCATCCAAAGTCCGAAGTGGCAACCTACCCCTCGAAGTACAATACAGTACAGCCCATCCCTTCCCCTACAGGTACGGTACAGTACATATGCATCACCACCTCACACCACTTTTACCTTCACATCAAACCCGGCGGGGCCCCAAAATAACATCATACCCTACGTATGTCCCACGAGTATCCATCCATACCTCCTCCCCCCATCACAACGAAAGCAATTGGAGTGGGGACCCCCAAAGCCTCAATCAGCCCTACCACAATCCACAGCACACCACACAATCACATGAACTCGACCGACCCATTGCCCCAAACCCCTGGGCTACGTCAAGATAGCAGAAGCAGCCGCATAACGTTACCCCATCCAACCGCCAATCCTTCCCCAACCGAACACCAGGTGCTCCACTGCATCCTCAACCAAGTATACACCATCCAATCAGACAAAAATCCCCACACCCTACTCAACCTCAAACGCAATGATCGAAGCAATGACACAAATGTGGCAATTGGCAATTGTGCAACAGGCCGGTTCTACGGAAAGGTGGAGCGGCTGGATGGCAATTGGATGGGCGGAGGTGCAAGGCACCCGATTGGCGGGTGCGGGAAGTCGATAGGGGATCCTTGAAAAGGTACCTTACGGATAGGCGTTGCATCATCGTTGCGTTTGGGGGGGCTGTGTAGGCGAGGGTTCGCTGGGGAGAGGTGCCGGCGGGAGGGTGGATTGGGGAGTAAGTTTATGGGATGTATGGGTTGAGGTTTTTCTTCTTTGATTGTAGATTTTGAACTGTGAAATGAGGGGGGTAGGTACGTGCGGGTGAGGGCTTGATTGACTCAGACTCATACTTCTTTGCTACTCAGTAAATTTGAATCGGGTGTAGGAAGTGGGTAGGTACTTATAATTGTGGCTCGGGTGGTTCTGATTAATCGGGTGCATTAACGTCCTTTATGCGCTAGACTAGTCTCGGTTATGCACTTGCTCCGTGGGTCACATGAGCTGACCGGGGTTTCTGGGGATGTCTGGGGTTTTGTTGAGTCATTTTGAGTAGAAATGGAGAAATCAGACAACTACGAGGAAAAATAAATAGGCAAAAGACTAGTTTGTTTGACTTGTTTTTCATTTCTTATTCAGTTTGTGATGTTTTAATCTAGAGGTTTGACTTTTTAGACGGAAAAAAAAATACATGCCCAATCCATATCCAATGCTCTGTGATGTCTGGCCGCATCCCAGTTCGCTGTGCTCCGATCCTTTCTTGCAATTAACACCGTTGATCATGTAAATAGCTCTGCACACCAACGCCAAGCTAGTAATGGAACCCGTCCATGGTTCAAGAATGAAAAATGATGATCGAAATTCGAACTCCGCTGGTTATATGTATAGATGAATAGATGGTGGTGGTAACAGGTTGAAACGAAAATAATGAAAATCGTGGCTTCGTGGCGTCGTAATTAAAGATTATAGAGGTGGTGGGTTGAGGTGGCTTTGTGGAGCGTTTTCGGGGGGTTTTGATCGGATTCAAGATGTGAGTGGTAAGAGAAGAGGTGAGTTGTGTTGAAGACAGGATGTCGAGGTAAGGGGTGAGTTGAGAGATGAGTTGAGTGGTTGATAGCGGCGAAAAAAATCAACCTGCAATCCGAACAGGCAGACACTGACCCGGCGAAGGCCAGAAGTGTTTCCTTTGCACTGTCTTCTCCAAGCAGTTGCGACCTTTCTCGAGAAGGCCTTCCTTCTCCTTCTCCTTATCGGCGGCCGGGGGCGCCGAGACGTGGAAGCTCACGTGGACTGTGGTGGTCTCCAGTTCGGAGGTAGCCTTGTCGGCGGCCTCAGTGGAGACCGGCTTGATCGTGGTCTGGTCTTCGTCCTTGCGGTCGTCGGGAAGCTTCTTGTTCTCGTCGTCCCGGTCCTCCTCATCCTCGGACTCGTCGTCCTCCATCTCGAACGAGTTGATGCGCGTCGACATGTCCTTCTGCGCCCATTCCATGGACCGGCAGTGCAGGCGGAAGTGGCCGAGGCAGCGACGGATGTCCGGGTCGGGAGCAGTGGCCTCGCGGGCCAATTTCTGACGTGACAGGGTGGTGAGCTTGTAGGGGAGGGAGGTCTTGTCGGCAAGAGGAGGCCAGCGCTTATTCATGGAGGGGTTGTTGGAGGACAGCGGAGAGGAAGAGGTCTTAGGGATGATATCGATGGTGGTAACCGCCATTGTGCTGATGTACGGTTGGTATAATAGGAATGATGATGAGGATGATTCAAGATCACTTTGAATGAATACTCCCTAGGTGGGAGTGTCAAGATGTGACTCAATTACTTGGATGTGATTAGGTGCTAGTCGCGCGTGCGAGTGCAGTGCAGTAGATGTGGATACAATGCCTAGGAGGAGAGTGGCTTGAAGGCGTAACGATTGGCTCCTTTGGAGTGATCTGGAGTGAAAATCTGGAGAGAAGAAAGTAAGAGAAGGGAGAGCTAGAATGAGGAGAGGGGGGAGGTAGAGAGAAGAAATATGGCGGAGGGGAGTCGGCAGAGGGTTCTGGAGGAGCTGGAGGGGAGGGGAGGGGGGGAGAGGGAGGGAGGAACCGCGCCCAGCACTGCACTGCACTGCACAGTGGGAAAATTACCACAGTATTGGTGACGGAACTCCGAAAAGAGAAATCCGGGCTGGGGAGTCGTGACCATCTGATCTGGCAGATTCTGCAAGCGGAAGATCCCCGGGTCTAGACTCGTTACACCACGCGCCTATTTACCTGTGCACCACACTATTGTATGTATCAAGCCACCACGTTTTCTGTACGAAAGGGTTTGTATTGGTTCCCTGCCTACATCGACTACAATCACCATCATGTTATCGAGTCCCTCCATCGGGTGATGATTGAAGATTGTGGTGAGCGACAAGGATTAAACCTGGACGGCAAAGAGTATGAGTAACACCCCAGTTGGGAGGAGGCGAAAAAGGGAACGCGCACGTCTTCCCACACGGAAAAAGGTATGCACAGTACGATGTACAGTCAGCATTCGGATGATCTTTACTGCTCTCCAGTCCTTGTTACCGGGGAAAGCAGCAGAAAAAAAAAAAAAGAGTCAAAAAGGGCCTCGACTTGACTCCACCTTACAAAACTGGTCGGGCAGCTGACCTTTATGGTGGGTCCGGGTCCGACGGCAATCCATGGAATGTTCGACACCGGCGAGCGAGTCTGGTCAGGCTTGGGAACTGGAGCGAGGTTCTTTGCCTTAGTAAGAAAGTGAGTTGGCTGTACATCTACGGTGGGCGCGCGCGTTTCCGGGAGTGGGCTTCCACTGAATTTTTCCAATTGTGCCAACTTGAACTTCTCTCGACCCCTTTCGTCTGACTGTCTTTCCACTATAAACAAAAAGGCCTTTATCTTCTATCGCGATAGCAGAACCGCGAAAATGAGGGGTAAGCAGGTCGGGTTTCCAACGGCCATTGACCCTGTCCCATGTGCAGCCTCAGAACTCCAGAATGCCTGAACAAGCAGCAAGGGATATGCGTGGCCGTCCGCGTGATTGGCCCAAATCTGCGGGGTCGTGATCTGAAAGAAGCCTAGTGCCCCTTGCTAAAGACAGTAACACTAGTCCAGATCGGCCCTAGAGCAACCCTGCCCGCCCTGTGCGCTTAGGGTTGCAGGGGAAACGCTCGCCGGTGTTGCATGTGGAATTGGGGGGAAAGGAGAGCAAAAATCCAGTATCCAGTGTCCAGGTGATTCTATAACGACCTAGAACCCTAACACTTGCTCTGTGCTGTTCCTTCGGCGCTTTTTCCTCCTAATAAACCTGGCGGGGTTGGGAACTAGTTTCGGAGTGCCCCTCGACTCGTAGTCAGGTACGCGCATCGTTGATTTTTTTTTTATTATCCATTTTTTCTTTCCCTTTCGCCGCACTTTCCTATTCCCCCTTTCCAATGGATTACTAAATCTGCTTAGCAACAACAATATCGCCCGAGTCAGTGATGAACAACTCGCGATCGGTGTTCTGCTCGATGTGAGCCGATCAGTGGCGCGTGACTAATCTTCTTTTTCCTTTTTCCCAAATCCCCGCCAAGGAATAATGAGCCAAAAAGTCACCTAACCCGATTCATCACACCACAACAAGCATGATGTCAAAAAAGGTTCTTCTACGGTCGGCGCAGTAAACATTTTCCGAATGCTATTCGGCTCCCTTCCTCCCCCGGGTTACGAAAACATGATCTCATTCATTGTTCATGGTTGACAACATGACAATGACTCGGGAGGCGAACCTTAAGGTTAATCAGAAGGTTTTTCGTGGATCGACTATTGTACTTTTGGTTGAGGTTTCACTCCTCCAATGGTTCCGTCCGTTTCCAGAGCGATTGGACTGGAAGCATTCCTTTCGGTTGGAGTGGGTTCTGGGGAATGCGGTCATGGATCCGGAGAGAGAGACAAGAAAGACGGGAAGGGATGTGCGACAGCAGAGTATGGGATGACTTTGCGATGTCGATGTCGAGATGGTGATGATGGACATCAAGCGCAGTGATGACGGCATACCATGTTATCTGTCATGGACAGACACATCCGTTTTGTGTTTGTTCACGCCATTTGCCTTGGAAATCGAGCATGGCGATTGATTGATTCCTTTGGTTCTTTGGCTGTTGGCTGTGTCGGCGTGTGTATCTAGTCGCAAGCCACGGAGAAATTAGTCTCCATCGTGAGTGAGATAGACCACAATGGCCCTCCCGTAATGCCCGGTATCAAACTAAGAATCCTGTAATTGTGATTGACCCGGTCTGGCCTGGCCTAGGCTGGATCGAGTTCGAATGGACCACGTAACTAGGGTGTTACTGAGTGACACCGGCTAATGCCCTTCCTGTGGCAGTGGCCGTGGCATTTTTCCCACCACTGGGAGTCGCCCTGGCTCAGCTCGAGGGCGCTGACTGGTGTAACAACTGCGCTGGATTTACGGGTTCCTTCTTCGTGACAGGCAGCAAGTGCTACCAGCACTGTATCAGACAGAAACCCCGATTAGACCCGATATATCTGCCAACTGTGTCCGGAGTCCTCCGACGAGAATGCCTTTATCACAGCACAGCAACAATAGAACGAGGCTACGTAGTTCACTCCTATCGACTCATTCGGGACACGCCACAACCGCTATCCACCTCATCTTCCGGTGATAGCACTGCACTTGACTGGGACCGAAAAAGCCACGGGGTATCGAAAGCACATCATCCGTCTCGCGGCCGTACGGTACTGCAGCGTTCCCCCCATAAGCCGCTCACACCATCCATCCATGCGTGGCTGCAGATATACTTTCTTGGAGTTTAGTAGTGCACGGTCTGGCGTACCGTACAACCACTCGATCAAGAACCCTGATTTGTGTCGATTGAGTGCCCCCGATTCGATTCGATTCGACCTCTCAGTCCCCGCAGCTCTTGGTCTTCGTGGTCGCGGTCGTGGTCTTGGGCGCCCAACTCTACCGTCTACCGAACGTACTGTACATACTTTACATAGATTAATGTCAAGCCGGACCCCTCCAGATCTTCCGTATGGTCCATCGGCCACCAAATCACAAGGCATCACAAGGCATTGCGGACAGGGGGGGCCTGAGACCACGGGCGGGCCATGCCGGACTGCTGCTGCTGCCGCTCCTGCCTCTGTCCGGTTGTCTAGTCATCCAGTCATCCCGGATCACGGCCTCACTCATAACTTGAAGTTATCATCTCAGAGCAATGCCTTTAAACCCGGGAAGGGAGTTAAACTACCCGAAGGCGGTCGACCTCCCCCTCCCCCTCACCCCGATAAGAAACCTGCTTTACTCGAAACAAGATCAACTGCTCTAGAATCGATCGACACAACAACATCAGTCTTCATCTTGTCAAACTTGTTCTAGCCCGCGCCGCTCCGGAAGAAACCTGGAGGCGCGACGGAAAATCCTCGAATCAACATGCATGTGTGGCACCAAAGTCGCTAATCTTGCTGAATTGAGGACTAGAAAAAGGGTTTCCCGCCGGCCTGTCCGCGGAGAGGGGAAGGGGGGCCTTTCTAGACCCCGCTTATCATTGTCGATCTGTGTGGTAGTCAAAGACTGTGTCTTTGTGGGGGTTGATTGGAGAGATGCGGGCGTGGTGTGGTGTGGTTTAGATGCAGTGGCTTGGATCCTTGAAGTTGCTGCCATGATTCTTGGCGGTGGATTGGCGAATGGAATGGTAGTCTGAGTGGTTACTGGTAGTAGAGTTCCTGCTGCAGTGGGATTGGGTATGGTATGGTGTATGGACTCTCCGTGATTGTCTTGGATTTTGTGCTATTGGTGCTGAGAGGGGATCTCGATTGCGGGTACTGCACATGGTAGATACAATGACGATTGGGATATGCCTAGTATGCAGCTCTAGAGGGTCGACCTTGTTCATTGCGTCTTGAGTATTGTTGCTTGTTGTACAGGCATATGGAAAGAGAGCTGGGCGGGGGAGGAAGGGGGGTTAACATAACCAGATTTAAGAAGACCATATATGTAGGGTTAAGATTCCACCAAAAGGATATCATTAGATGTTAATAGAGTTATTCCAATGGGTAAACTGTTCTTGCACAGGTGGATTACCTTTGGATGAATGGTTGCTCCTCCATTAGATGCCGCGCTGGAAACTATTATCTGCCTGCAGCGTGACACAACTAAGCGATGAGGGGGTTAGTTTCGAGTTGATACATTTCTTGGAGCAAGCTGTCATCGGAGTGTGATGTAGCGGGGCGAGAAGAGGATAGAGTTCGAGACCATGAGTTTGTTGTTTATAGGGAGATGGGGAGGGTGCGGGGGACAGATGTCGTGCGCGTTATGTACTGGCGTGAGTACGTACATCGCCCGGCCGCTTGGCCATAATTCGGTTGAAAGATGAGACTCGAACCCAGCCACGTATCACCCTTTCCGTTCATTCTCTCGCTCTGGATAACTCGGGAGACTTGGTGTCTTTCCCCAGGCTAAGTAAAGCGAGGCAATTACACTTCATCGATTGCTGGTTGAGACAGTCCTCAAGGGAAAGGACACGGGCTCTGAAGTGCTGGAACAGAGGCTCAAGAATTTGTTGCCTATATTGGCTTGCATGTATGCTTGGACTAGTACCTAGCAGAAAAGTCAGCTGATACGTACCGACTTTTTGGGCCCCGAGGGATCTGTTCATGCTTGGCATGTTAGCTCATGCTTATTGTAGTGGGAAGAGATGGTGATTGGTGGAGACGTTTGTATGAGAACTTGAAAGATGAGGTGGTGGTTTGAGGCCCGGGGGAAAGCGGGGCGGGCGGGGGTCGGGCCGCGATATAACTTCATTGGTTGGCGCTACTCGCGGATGGGGAGAAATTCCACTAAGTACCAAGTTATCCCCCGAGGTGCTCTTGTCGGGCTATACCTACAATGAGGTATCATGGAGAGAGAGATATTGGAATAATGGGGGTGAATTCTGGGAATACTGAGGTTCTTGGTGGGAATACATGGGAAGATATTTGAATGAGAGATGTGGATGGCTGCTTGAGTAGGACTGGAGTGCTTCAAGCAGGTGCTTGGGCGGTTACATGTTTAGGATAAGTGAAAATAGCCCGATTTCCAGGAGAAGGCTCCTTGTACACCTTGGAAGCATTGAATGCTAACCGAAATTACCATCCACAAATCCCAACCGAATGTTCCTCCACATCCAAGCCGCTGCTATCGGCTACACCCCGACTGGTCACAAGCTGTACCCCCCGTCAGCCATGAGGCCGGTCCCATAGACAAAACTGCTCATCGGCGACGCTAAGAATAAGATGGCACTCGCGATCTCCTCGGTCTCCGCTACTCTCTGCACTGGCGCGCTGAGGATTTCTGCAGACAGCTCGCCGGAGTCCAGCTCTGACTGAATCAATGAGGTGCGAAACCAGCTGAGCCAGGTCAGTATCGGAGAGAAATCGAGGAAAGTAGTTACAAAGCCCTAGCCCGATATACACACCCTGGGCACACTGCATTTATACGAATTCCCTCTGCGGCGTAGATTTTGGCATCCTTCAATGTGTTGGTGATCAGTGTGGGCCGTTCTTCATGAGCAAAGGGAATATACCGACCGATTTTGTCAACCCCATAACCGCTAAATTATATTGTCAGAAAGGGTTGCCATGCATATCTCATGGGTTAGAGGGAGCCCTACCATGTTTGGAAGATACATAAGCTGTCGTGGGGAGCACAGTCGACGGCGTCGTAAGTCCCAAGGCCGATGCGACATTGACGATGACTCCTCGGCCTTGTCGGACACTACGGGGTCTACCATCGCACAAGTCAGACCGTACAGCGATCAAGCAAAGCCCTTAGGGGCGGTGACTGGGAACCTGGGGCAGACGGAGAAGAAACTATACTCTTGCGCAAGCATCTGTCGGATAGCAGCCCTTTGGCATAGCCATACCCCGGTCAAGTTCACCCGAATGACTTTCTCCCAGTCCTCCTTGCTCAGGTCAGGCGTTGACTGGAAGGGCTGGCCAACGCCAGCCGCGTTGATGACAATGTCCACTCTCTGGAACGCAGCCACGGTCTCTTGGAAGGCGGCTTCCACGGCTGCTTCATCGGTCACATCCGCCGGTACGGCAATCACCTGCACAGTCGGGTGGCTTGCTTGCAAGGCCTGGTGCACGTGGTCCAGGCCCGACGGATCGATGTCCACCAAGGTCAGTGCTGAAATGCCGTTCGTAGCAAGGTGCAGGGCTGTCTGCTCTCCGATACCTGCCTGTAGAGTCAGTCTTGGAGGCCAATTCGCTTCCAGGAATCGGAGCAGGTAGTCAGTAAGCTTTTTTTCTCTTACCCGAGCCAGCTCCGGTGATCAGGGCGGTTCCTTCTACTTGGCACGACATGTGGGTTGTTACTGTGGAGTTTAGCTCGTGGAAGGAATCATTTGTCTCGATTTCTGGGTCCTTGCTTTCCGAAGTCATATGTGCAATGGGAGAGAGAAAAGGTGTATGTGTGTGGGAAGTGGGGGGAGAAGAGAGAAAAAGCAAAGGCAGTAGTATACAGAGCACATGCATTCACTATACGACCCCATTCTTACCGCTGTTCGGGCCACCTGACTTACCGGGCTGAGAAGACTTGGCGGTGTACTGGTACTGTACTATCATACTAAGTTATAGCTGAGCGCACGTCGGCCCAACTACGTGCGTGAAGCCGATTAGTCCGTTTTTCTGCCGCCATCATCATCATCATAGAGGGAGAGCGTTTCGACCAAAAAAAGTCGATTTGTTACAGGGAGCATAGGCGCTGAACCGTATGCTAGATTAATGGCCTTCGGGTAAACTTCCACTTTGGTAATTGTCTGGTTCCGAGACAGGCTACTGGTGGCGAGTATGCAAATAAGAGATATGCGCTATGATTAGTATGTATCAAAGGAACGCATCCACTCAGTGGTTACTTACCTAGAGTTATATAAATCACCAATCAGGCATTGGTCTAAGGAGGTAACTAGAGAGTTGCTGTTTTGTGGAGACGCCTGCTCGATTAAGGGCTTACAGGGTTGCTCAATTGAGATAGCATAACGCCTTCATGCATTCTATCATTGATGGCAGGGATTATTAATACTGGATAAGTTATCACAGATGGATGGAGGATCCCGTCAATATATTGAAAGAGTACAACGCAAAGAACCGTGGGTGACTGACTGTACCGTGGTTGAATCCATTGTTTACTTGACCGCTCCAGCAGTAGTTAGCGATATTTTCAAGGACTGCCCTTTGATCTTGGAAGATCACTTCATCACTCTTTTGACATCGAAGGTCAAAGCATGTGTATGTGATTGCAGAGTGTAGGTCTCGAACGCCAACTCAGACGAGACAATAAAGAAGGTCTGTGAAATATAGAGGCAGGCCAGAGTTTCATGACAAGGTACAACAGGGACATGATGCATTTATAACTGCTTTTCTTTCCAAGTTGCCAGGTCTGAAATGGAGATGGTAAATTCTCGTACAATGGACTGAAAGTACAGCCACATTCTCAGTTCAAGCACCATCCGCACTTATACCGTGTATGAAGCGGGGCCCATCTTATTTAGCGGGAGCAGAATCCAAGACAAAGGAGACATTGCTCTTCTGCTGGAGTCCCAGTCTGTGAAGAGCTCTCGAGCGAGTTGATTCAAGCGGCAGAGGAAGTCTATATAAACACCGTTCTGTCTCCCAAGACATCCCGATGTTTCTAGCAAGTCGACGAGATTCAACCTTTCGTGAGTGGTATATCTGTCTCGAAAACATTGGCGAACGTAAGCAACTCTTTGAAACATGGCTGAGAGTATGCCCACTGAGGTGTCCGAAGCGCAGCGAGAACCTCGCCGTGATCTTGGTGATCAAATCGTGGATTCCCATGTGGCTCGCATCCTCGATCTAAGCAAGATCCCTAACTTCATGTGCGGATACGATGCGCTATCTATCTATGGTGCACCGTTGCACGAGGCTACGGAACGTGACTGGGTGGTCCCCGATGAGCACATCATCGAGGCAATAAAAGTCTTCACGCAGGCGGGGGTTTCTGCAGTGTCCACATCGAAGCGAACACCAAAGACTCGGCAAGCTCGGGCTATTGGACAATTTCGACGATTTCGAGACCGACCCTTTGGAAGAGCTCGATCCATATCCCTACAGTGTCGATTTCCATACACCGGACTATCACTTCCACTGGAGCTTTGACTCGGCTAACCGGAACCCTCGAGCGATAGGTTATACACCCGCTCGTCCTATTCATCTCTACCGCAGGTCGTGGCTCTTCCCGAAATTTCCCATCCCGCCTATTGGCGCTCCCCCTCGCGATGATCCATACTATCGGCTCACGTCGGACGACCGCATTCGGCTGTCTTCCCACGGCGATGGTGATTTGCCCCGGGGGCGTCAGTCAGATCACGAGGCCTTCCATCCCGTGAAGATCCCTCACTTGGCCCGCTGGGTGGAGGCCCACCAGTTGCGGATTCTTCGCAACTTGCCCGCGGCGAACACAGATGGTGAAATCATGGGCGTGCGTTGGATAAGCGCTCCCAGGCCGCATAAATACATGATGCTGCTGGTGCGGTATCGGATGAATGTGGATATCACGGAGCTGTCGGAGCCTTGGCGCACGTTGACAACCCTGTGGCAGGAGCTTTCGCCAGAGTATGACAAGCCTTCTCCGAACCACCGTTCCGGTATGAAGCCGATGGATAGCGACTACCACAAGTACCTGTACCAGCTATGCATCAACATGAAGAGATGCGGTGAGCTCCCATCCCCGGAGAGAGAACGTATCCACCCAGCAGCCCGTAAGGAGTTTGTGTCATGGTTAGAGATGCTCGACATTGAATATAACTCCCGCTGATCTGGAATAAGTCGGCCATGGTCTGTCTGTCCTTCATGGGCAGATACTCAAGGATGAGGCACCCTCGCCTACGTCAAAGATGCGAGCTCACGTAAGCTCATTAGCTCATTATCTCATTATCATCAAATGCATTCAAAGCTACTAAAGTCTTTAGTTATATTGTAAGTCCCCAGTATTGAGAATGCTCACCTATGCTGCTTATAGTTGTTGATATCATCAATCTATACGTGAGCAGGTCGATTACTTTCTTTTAGTGCTATTAGAGGCAGCCAACTAAGTAGACGCGCTACTCGCTCAGTTTTCACAGGCAAGAGCAGCAGGCGGGTCATGTGACATGTCAGGCCACCTTCCTTCCTCAGCTCCTCTCATGCCGTCCGTCACCTTCGACACATCACTCGCACCAAGTACCACCCTTCTCTTCTGCTACTACGCCAAGGAAAAAGCTTACGGTGGGCTTTGGGGATTATGAACAACGGCAACTGCGCACAGTACAGCATGCGATGAGGGAAAGCGGCCATTCAAACGGGCCTTGTGTGACCATGGTCAAGTCGAGACAGGGGCATCCTTGTACTGGACAGGAAACACTCAGATATTCCGCAACCAAGCTCGATACTTGAAAAAATCGTCGGGGTTCGGCATCCAAGGATTCATCATCGTTGAGATCACTATCCATCCAAAAAACACAATCGTACCATCGGAGCGGTGAGAATCACCCACCTAAAATCCATCGACTGGGGAAGGAACACGATTCGTTCCTCTATGTCGATGCGTTGCTTTCCAACAGAGCTTCAACAGACATTCCTCATCATTGGGGGGATGGTTGGAGGATTTCATGCGCACGCTCTGCTCATTGTCAGTTCTACGAGTCGTCATTAGACCATTCCGTGTCCAGCTTCCCAAAATCGTTGAATACCTAACCATCCTGCCAAACGGGCGGTTTCTTTATCCGTGACACGGAAAAAAGCAAGTTCATCAACTTGCCTGGCTGGCCTGACATGAACTTGTAATGTTGATCACCCTTTGCGTGTGCCGAAATGCCGCGGAGTCCAATAAGGATTGTTCTTTTAGAGTAGGCTCTTTGGGCTTTCACTCTTCCACCATCTTGCCGAAACATGGCAGCAGCGCGCTGCGTTGTCCCCTGGCACCAAAAAGCTACATGAGCAGGATTCTTTGATGTTGGGAAGTTTGCAGACTTCTCCCCTGCACAAACCCAAAGCTTCGTCATCCGGCTCTGGCTTCAAGCTTGAAACACTCTTTGTACCGATTTTCTATAGTTGAGGTTGTACAATGATCTACCTATCTACCTAACATACCAAATCTTGGGGTCAGTGAGACGTCAGCACTCAAGTCAATCGATTTTGCAAACGATCCGGATCCTCATCACACCGCTCTTGTCCGCCTACCTGCTACCGTCGAAGATTTTATCGCATCAAGTTCACCCAGCCATCTTTTCGGTCGATCCTTCCCAGGACTTGCGGCTTCTGAGGGCTCAAGGAGACAGTAAAACTTAATACAGTATAAGATGGGTGCGATTTGTCACAGAGGGTGAAAGAAATGAGACTACTGAAGCGGTGGGGAGAGACTGCAGCTGCTCATCTCAATTTGCCGCCAAAGTGAGACAGGCAGTCCTCTGTTTGCTCCCCGAAGATGAAGCTGATCTTCTCAAGTTTTCTACATACACACCTGAACTATCACATCCATAGAACCCGATATATATCATACACGCCCTATCTGTCCATCTAAAGTCTTGGCCAAGGTGCACGGGGCATGTACAGTACTGTCTGTGCATGCATGTTGCACCCGGTAGTTGGCATTTATGACCTTAACACCCCTTATAGGACTTCTCTCGGGTAATTGGGGTACGGTGGAGAGAGCTGGTAGATCCCACTGCGCCAATGCTGTGGCAGTCCAGCATCCGAAGCAGATCTCGACCCTACAGTCCCGCTCACGTCATGCGGCTTTGGTATGCCTACTTTGGCTCTTGTGCTTCGAACTGAACTTGTTGCCTGTCAGTCTCGGAATTCACTGGATCGTTGATACGGTGGTGGATCCAAGGCTTATAGATTCTCACCAACGGAATAGGTGTGGACTATCGCCGAATCGAAGAGCCGCTGCCCCCGACGCATTTGCAACCATACTCTGTGCTTGACGGTTTATTCTATCGTTTATCAACACGTATGCAGAGAAGAAACTACCCCTGTCCTGCACGGGGCAAGGTCCGCATCCACCCGGAGCCCGCGATCACCTCTCTCCACTTTGTGGAGGTGGTTTTACCTAGAACCTGACTGCAAGGGTCCCCATTCCTTTATCGCACTAACTCGATGATAAGCGATATGCATCTTCCTCTCATTCAAGTATGCGAGATTCTTCTCTCTCCGCCTCATGGCCTTATGCGCTAAACATAACTACCGTTCTTTGTCCTTCCATCGAGCAGGGACGGCGACAGCTCCGTGATGGATAACCTGATGAAGTGGGTTCGTGTTCTCGTGAGAGCTGCTCCGGGGAGGGTTGGTGATTGGCAGTTCGTGCGGATGGGCTGGTGCGAAGGGCAGACGCGTTTTGGGGTCTGGAGGATCTGGTATTGTGGTCTTGCTGGGTGAGAGGATTGGTGATTGTGCTTCTGTTGAAGGGAGGTGTGGATCGAGGGGGAATGGGGTCTTGGGGAGGAAGGGTTGAGTGCTCGGCTCTGCTGGTTGTTTCTGTTAGTTGGCTTTGTGGTCGGGGTTGGATTTAGGATGGTGTTTATCTGGGGGCAGGGTGTTAGTCTGGAGTAGGTTGGGTTGTGTGGTTTTTGTGATTTTATAGAATTCCAAGGTTTAGAGTGATTGATTGAGAATGAAAGTCGATTAGGATGGGAAGAGGACTGGGTGTGTGGGCGGGTTTGGCTTGTGGTGGTGGTTTGAGGTACTCTAGATGGACGCCGCGATTCTAGGGTGGTGGGCTTGATTGATGACCTAGATGGTGTTGGATCTGATGCTTGCTTGGACGTAAGTAGGAGTTGGTTTCATCATAGGTATACGCATTGGAGATGGATACTTGTTCATACTGTTCGGTTGTTGTTGAGTGTTCACAGGAGAGGATTCGGGGGCTGTTGCTACATAGTACCCGGTTGGTGATCCTTCTGGACCCAACGTGCGAAAGCAGTTGGGGAAGGGCTGCAGGAGTTGTGGAAATGGATTACTACCTTCATGACGTGCACGATTACTACTAGCGCTACGAGGCATCAATCACTGGAATATTGATCGGACAAGCATGGACTGAGCAGATGTTGAGATGGGCAACCATGCCAAACAAGTATTGAGAAGATCAACCATAGACTAGACCTTGAGAGCTGCCGGCCGATGAATTAGCCTCGCATGTTCGAACTACAAAACGTCAACAGAACCCAATCTGTTGCCCTGATCTGAGAAGAATCCTTGAGGGCTATGGCGATCCCCGTTAGGAAAGAAGTCCAGATGTACTACGTCGTACCGCATGCCATCCGCCACCGTTCGTTTATGGCTGACAACGATTCAATGTCGTACAAGCCAAACAGAACCGGCTATCTGGGCATGCTCAGAGGCTATACACGTTATACTGCAGGATTCTTAAACAGTGAGCCGGGGAGTCGATGTGCAACCGGAGCATAGATTAATGGCGTACATGAGTGAACCAGAAGGTCACCGGACGCAGACACATTCCTGGAGGTTGATACCTCCCTCCATGCATGGATTGCCCCTAGGATGGTTTTGATTATGCACGGCTCATCTCGTGCTCGGCTGAGTGACGACAGAGCTTGAGTCCTGCGAGACAAAGAACGCCGTTGATGATGTCGACGACATTGCAATATCTGATCCGTAGGATCTGAGCACTCTGGAGACGCAGTAGACTGGATGCTGTGCTCCGACTCCGTCCTCAGCTATGATTGTAAGACGAGAGGGTCTGTGATGCTTCGGAAATGTGTCCGTCCAGTGAGAGCAGAGGTCCTCGACTGTGTCTAAAGAGTTGCCCCAGGCGGTCCAGCTCCAACGCCGACGTCTTAGACACTGTCCTGCTGATGACTTGCATACGCCGTCCTTGCCGGTGAGATCTTGGCCGCTTGGCGCACCCAATCGGAACTGAGAGTGCTCGAGCAGTTGTGCGTCCCCGTTGGCGCTTTCTCCAGAGCACAGTGGGCCAGAAGTACGTTGATTCAGACCACTTTGTTTGTGCAAGGATGAGCTACGTTGCTCTGGGGTCGAGAGAAAAGCTTGACACCACCCGGTTTGCCGGGAGGGGGAAGGGAAGATACAGCAACCCACCTCACTTGGCGATATGCTGTGTTTCCGGGATTCTTTTTCCTTCGACTAGTATTAAAACGCCTTCCCAAAGCTCTCCCCCCTCGACCTGTCTGTTACTATTCACACAAGCTCTTATGGAATGTTCAGTGCAGATAAGGATTGAAGCTTGGGCCCGACGGCACGGAGGTCCGGTCGTGCATGAGTGGAGTTTGCCGCAACAAGTCGGAGATCTTCGAGTCATCATTATCCCTTAACTGGCTCGGAGAGAGAGAGAGAGTTGATCGGGATTATCATCTGCCATTCTGGATTAGTGAGAAGGGATATGTGGTACGTTTCTTTTTCACCCTCTAGGCTGCGTTGCCTGCAGCCTGCATACTTTGTGAGAGTATCCTTCGTCATTGGTTCAAGGATGGTTTTCAGGGAAAGGCGAGCAGGTAGTGCATCGCTCGTAGTAATTCTTTTTTTGTGGTCGCAAGACGAGCCAAATGACCTCTTTTCGAGTATAGACCTTTATCGGAGCTACGTAGAGTTATGTCATGGTGGGGATGGTGAGTATGTCCGTATGTCTGTATGTCCGCATAGTTGTATGTCAAAAAGTATGTCTCTCGTGTTTACTACTAGTCACGGAATACTAAGTAAGAAATGGAGCCACGCACGGTCCCTGATCGCCCCCTCTTTTTAGTGCCCGCTCAAGTGACCCGTCCGACCGCCCCGAGAGGGTCATCTGCCATGATGTGCCATGATGTGCCATCCCAATTCAGCCACGGCGGGATTCCTGGAGTCGATCCATCCTTCATCCTTCATCCATCTTCAACCCTTTACTCTTCAGCCTGCTGTGAAATGTAACGAAAAAACCGTTATTGACTAGACGCCCTCACTCTGGTCCGGGATTTTTTCCGACTGCAGCTCGTTGTCTCGAAGCTAGACTAGGTGCACTACTGCCACTAGCTATCTATCACTCCGACCAGTCACCGACCTTCAATCAGTCTGTTGCGATGAGCTCCTGAAAATATTCTCCACCAGAAGGAAAAAAGGCACGCGAAATAAGGCTTGGGATGAAAGTCACACAAGTCTAAAGATAAACTCAATTAGAGGAACCCAGCATGATGGTCTACAATTGCTCGTTGCATCATCAACATCTTCATCTAGCATGGCTCATTTCTACAATCTCGCCCCGCCTGCAATCCAAGGTCGTGATAAGACCTTGCCATGACGGATCGCCACTCGGTTGAACATGATAACCATTCCCCGATGATCAGGGCCAAGCGCTGGCCAGGTTGCTTGATCATTGCAGGCCCGACGAGATCCCAAGCAGTGACGATACTTGCCCGACTGGGTCATCCGGACTCATACGAATCAGAAGCGAGGAGAAGCGCCTGTCTTGTGATTGGTCCTGAAGGGGAAAGGCGTGAGACTCCAAACAGGGAATCTCTCATGGTCGATGACTGGCTGTAGGAGAATGGTCCTCCGGAGTGGTACTGGTGGTAGCTGTCGTTTTGGAAAAGGCAGGCAAGTTACGTGGTGTTATTAGTAG